TGTCGGTGTGGGCAAAATGTGAACAGGCGTTTGGGGGGGGGGGGGGCGTTTTCGAGATAAGGGGGTACAATGTCTACAATTGAGGGGAAATGTCATTATGTTGACATAAATGATGATGATGTTATATATTAATAAAACATAAATTTCTAGGACTGTCCATCTCTAAATAAGTGTATATGATGCCCCTGGACAACTGTTTTGATTTGTGGGGTGGGGGGTGCCGGTGGGCGTGTGTGGAAGGGTGGGGGGGGTAAAATTTGCGGAAAATGAGTTCACGTTGATTTAAATGATGATTTTCTTAGAGCTTGATAAAAACATTACTTTTTAATTTCGCTGCACATCTCTAAATATGTGTATCAGATTCCCATTGTATGGGGTGGGGTGGGGGGGTAAAATGTATTTTTGGGGACAGAAACCACATGGTTCAAAATTGACCTGAAAAGTGACTTTTCGTTAGCTTTTTTTTCGTTCAGTACCAATTTCGTCATTCAAAATATTAAATTATAATGCAATCTGATTAAAACATAAACCCTATTTTGTTCCGTTTTTTATAGTTCTAAATTTTGTCTTCATAACACTGGGATCTGGAAGAGTTGTTATATAAGCCGCGTTCTGGTTAATGTGAGGGATTAGCCAATGAAACGGTCTGTTGCGGTGAGTTCTTGTCAACGCTGGTTGATTAATCAATGTCTGACGTCATAGTGTCAAAAACAGATCGTATGACCTCTGACGCCACCCCCCACTATACAATCGGCCAGATCTTCATGTAATGTATGCCATCGAAAGTGTAAAAAAAACGAAACGAAATATAAATCTGTATTTTAATCAGATTGATTATAACAGTACTTTTTAAGAGATCTGGAAAAAACAGTAAACAAGAGACATGTTTAGATGTTAGTTTATTCTTATATTCTTCATCAGAATATCTTCTTTATGGGTGATCAACAGCTCGCATTATATCCTTCAGATACCCATTCGCATAGTAAATCTTCATTCCAGCCTTGTATTGTATCGCAAGGTGATCTTGTTTGATCATTTAATGTGCAGCAAAAGACTAGCAGGCAAGATGGTAATAAAGAAAGAAGCAATTAAAATTACTCCAGAAAATCTTTCTTCTAATGTTATCTACTGATGTAAGTCGCCTTTCACCGTACAAACAATTATTTCTATTCCAGTAATTACGTCATCAGAAACATCATTTGCCTGTAAAAGAAAAACAGATAGTCAATTGTCATTACCACTGAAAGCATGCAGGCCTAGATATTCCTAGACACTTATATCAAGATTTGTATTGAAAGTGTCGAGAATATCCTAGAAGTGACAACAAACCACGAGGACACCAAAATAGCTTACCTACTCCTCTTCGCATTGCAAATTAATGGAGGCGCTGAAACTAATTGTATTTTGTGTTCTTGCTCGGGCGAAATAGATATCCAAATCGTTCTCCTCGCAAACGATGATCCGTATATACACATTTTGAACGATAATGAGACGGGCAAAGGTAGAAAATATTCCGGAAGGCGACTTACATCAGTAGATGACGCTAGAAGAAAGACTTTCTGGGTGAAAAAATAACATGACTGGAATGAAGATTTACAATGTGAACTGGTATCTGAAGCATATCCAAAGGACATATGCGAGCTGTTGGTAAGCAACCAAGAAGATATTTATCTCGCTCATTTGATTTTGAATCTTCTGATGAAGACTAAGAATAAACTAATATCTAAACATGTCTCTGATTTGCTGTGTTTTTGATTTACATTTCCAGATCTCTTGAAAAGTACCATCATAATTTAATATTTTGAATGACCAAATATAGGTACTGAACGAATAATTTCTGTCCACAAAGATACATGTTGCCGCCCACCCCACCCCCATGAGCACCCATCCCGTCGCGCCCCCCTCCCCCCACCCACACACACATTGGGAATCTTATACACATATTTGTAGAGATGTTTCATCAAGTCCTAAGAAAATCATCATTTAAATCAACGTGAATTCATTTCCCGCCAATTTACACCCCCCCCCCCTTTCCACACAAGCATACCTGCAACCACCCATCCCACCTTGCCACAAATCAAAACAGTTGTCCAGGGGCATCACATACACTTATTTAGAGATGGACAGTCCTAGAAATCCATGTTTTATTTATATATAACATCATCACCATTTATGTCAACATAATCACATTTTCCCCCAATTGTAGACATTGGACCCCCCATATCGCGAAAACGCCCCCTCAAACGCCTGATCACCACCCAGATTCGGAATCTGCGCAAAAAACTGGTCTAGAAAAACTTGGTCTCATAAATTCACAGCTCGGGTGGCGATTCCCCCCCTTCAGCCATGTAGCCTCTATCACGTTCACAAGCCGATTGTTGACGAGCGGGCGAATTGACGGACAGGGTGACGACATAATACGCCCGCACTGAAATATGGGCATATGAAAATGTGTGTGTGTTTGTGTGTGTGTGTGTGTGTGGGAGGATGCCCGGGTAGGATGGGGGGCTCTCTATCTTGTGCACTTAAGATCACCAGGGTTGTCATCGAGCCAAGTGTCGGGGTTTCAATGCAACTTCTGTTCTTAACTAGGGGTTTGAAAGCCTGTCTGACTGAAATTCTCTCTCTCAAGTTCCCCAATGCTCATATTTTGAGGCATATTTCTAGTGGTTCAATATTTATAAAAGTGCAGTCTGTCGAATCAAGTGATACGCTTTATATAACTGTAAATAATCTCCTATTATGCACATTCCATATTCCCAACGATTCGTATTCGTTATAAAGCCAAGCCCAAGATTATAACATCACCGTTTCTACGACGTTTACACGGAGAAGAGATCCTTCTAGAGCAGGTCCGTACCAGGTAATTAAAAAACGAAATGAGAACGACGTACAAATAAACCCCGCCATCTTTGTCAACTCCTCGTCACGATTTGCGACTCACTCTACATTTATCACAAACAAATACATTTCTTTGATTAGAAATACATCTACATAATTATTGAACCTCTGTACCAGGTGAAACAATTTATAATTCTCACCTCAAACTACATAAATCCATTTGTGGTAGTAAGTTTTCAGTGGCGGCGCCAGGGGGGGGGGGGGGGGCATATGCCCCCCCCCCCATTAATCTGGTCTGCCCTCTGTTTGCCCCCCCCCCCCAATAATTTTACAAAATAAAACAAAGTATTTGTGATACGTTTCAGTAATCAATACCTTCTACGGTGAATAAATCCCACATCCCCACTCAGTCATAAACTTGCATGTTGTAGAGCATTTCCGACAGTCTATTTTTCAAAATTTTCTTGGCGAGGTCCCCAATGGACTCGCTACTTCGGCGCTCACAAGGGGAATTCGTTGAGGTCCGCAAGTCCGTTCGTTTGACATTTTTTTCTCTAGTCGGATAAACTAGTGATCAGGCGACGAACGGTATCTGGGCAGATCTATTTATCTCGACGATCGGTGCCTGACAGAATACTGTAAGACAGCATTTCCGGCAGTCTATTTTTCAAAATTTTCTGGGGGAGGACTCCCTACTTTGACGCTCGTGAGTGGGCTTCGTCGTGATTCGCAAGTCAGTTCGTTTGACACTTTACCTCATCGATCAGTGCCTGAAATACTGCCAGGCTGCATTTCCGGAAACCTGTTTTTCAAAATTTTCTGGGGGAGGCCCCCTACCCCTAGTTGAAGCTCGTGCCTTTGCCCCCTTAACCTTGGACTTTGCCCCAGCTTTGCCCCTCCAATCACCGACGGCTGGCGCCGCCACTGTAAGTTTTGTTGATCTTAAAAATATCAAAAGATCTAGGTCGTATAACATACCTACTTTGTGTACTAGGCTCATCGTTGTTTTGAAATATAAATAAATGCGGTTTAACTACTTGTCGGCATCAACCAGGCAAATGAAAACTGATCATGGTATTGACCTTAGTGGAAGGGTGGCTTTATTTAAAGGAATGAACTTTTATATTTCAGACTATTTGCTTGATAGAGATGTGAGTATCGTCGTCGAAACGTCGCTTATTATTAAACTCAATGATTGTGTATTCATAAAATTGTACCTTGTGGTATAAAAAAACATTCAGAGTGATTGTCTTAAGATTTTACTGTTTACTGGGCAACAAAACATGCAATAATTACACAAAACATCAAGGTGTAGAGCAAAATCCGCATATTTATGAAAGTTTGGGTGTTACTAAATGGTAGTTATAAACACGTTTTATATTTTTTGCTCAAGGAAATAAAGAGATAAAACGCATTAATTTGCTTCAAGAAACACATCCATCAAGGTGCACATCAAAACCCGGATTCAGTCGTGACCGCAAGTCACAATTAGCAAACATCAATGAAGTGCAACTTACTGATTCTCTGTATATACATGGCAACAGTTCAATGAGTTTAAATGTAGTTTTACACCATTGCAAATCCACAAACACAAACAATTAAAACAATAGACGTTATGTCTGTTTTATGGAAAGAGCCTAAATATCAAAGTTTGGCAATGAAGTTGACATTGGAGAATATTTTCTGGACCGACTGATTACTCATTCTCTTTTAATTAGCCCTACTCTTAGTAACATAAAATCCTTAAATTGGAATCAAATTTTTATAGTTACGATATTCATAAAAAACATCTGAACTTTTCTGCCAAATTATATCTATAATGGGTCTAGGAAATGGTCAAAGGATTCAACAACAAGGACCCTACCCTTGTCAGACATAAAGTACGGGTTTATTTTTGTTGAATTCGTTGATTGTCAGTGTCATAAATATATATTAATGCGTATGTGAATAGAGTTTTACAATGAAGTAATACCAAAAACATGAATTATGTCCACGAGAATTTTGTTCTTTTTTTCGAATGAAAACTATACGCGCAATCGTGATATTAATATTTGATTGGGTACAGGAGGACGAATGAAAACGAAACAGTCTAAAAGGTGAAGCTTTTTGACGTATTGTGTTCAACAGCGCGTGAAGCCAACATATACAAGCGCTAACATATAGGATTGTCACGTGGCCCTGTATATCCCAAAGGTGCTAACGTAATAAATAGCGAGGACAGCCGACGACGTCTTTAAGACATTTCAAGACACACGAAGTAAGTTGTGGATTTTGTTATAGAAACCGTAAGTAGAGAGAGATAGACCTACTTTGTTCTATATGCTTATGTTAAATAAGTAATTACCTCAATATTTTAAAATATATGCAATACCTTTCACGGATTTAATTCATCTTTAATTTAAGCAATTGTTCATTACACAATGCCAAGAATTGACAGCTGTTTAATTGTATATTTTTATGTTTTTCTATCAATATGTTTGTTGTTCATCTGTTTTTGAAAAGTTTTGTTCTAATTGACTTAAAACTATTTCACACAGTTAATGAAATAATGCAATTATGGTGATGGAATATTTTAAAACAATAACTGTTAAAACAGTAAATTTGCACATAGCTATATAAGTATAATGTGAACTTTCAATTAGAAACGATTTGTAAATATCGGATGAACATTTGACAACCATTTATGCACTAATTCAACAAGTATCATGGAGGTATTGACTGCAAATTAAATACTTCCAAATACGTTAATTGAGTACAGAAAAAATACTGAACATAGTAACTTATTGAAAAAGTATAACTGCAATAATTACTTTAGCGGTAAATAGAGGTGGCATTCGTGCATGATTCAAGATATGCTTGGACATTCTAAAAAATATGGTACTGCTTTTCATTCATTTTAGAGGTTTACACAACTTAACATTTTAGATATACTTTTATATTCAGGAATTTTATGTAACGGTAAAGTCTAATAAAGGGGAATATGAGCTAACCTAAATACGCATGATATAATTATAAATGACCGTTTAGTTGGTAATGAATGGACTGTTGTCCTCTTTACCTAAAAAAAAATGTCATTGTTTTTGATTGATCGTATATAATAAAGTGGTGTGACGTCTTAATTAAGTGTGACAGACGTATACACAAGTTAGTATTCGCTTGCAATTTACATTTCATCTATTAACTTCAGAATTTGATGTATTGTAGCTGACCGGTATTTATATTTGAGCTCTGTGGGGAAATTCGAATCACTCCTTTTTGAAAGAAAATAACCATGTACATATGTTTACATAAGTATGCATTATGTAAGAGCTAAATCTGTCTATTGCAGGTTTTTTTATTTGGGCTTCAAATGTCATATAAATTATTATTTGGACATTTATTCACGTGACAAGCCTATAATCAACTCTATAATGATTTCATTTAAATTTGGAGAAGCGAGGCTGAGTTTAGATTAACAAGTAACGTCGCTACGATAATAAACAATCCGCTCTACATCTGCCGAACCCATAACTTCACTCAGAATAAAGTAAAGTAATTTGAATGAAATTTTCAGTATATATTCATTTTTCATTATCTATTTTTGAACTATTATAGCAAGAACGACCAGTTCTTTATCTAAATCTTACATGATGTACATTTAATGCAGTCCGTTTGCATTATCCCGCTTGGTTCAGAAAGTAGGACGTTAAACTCCAGTCTTGTGCCGATACAGGGGTATTTCGTGACACCACGACCATATCCTTAACATTTATGGGGAACTGGCCCATAATTGTCTAGCGAGAATTTTATATTTGTCAGCTACTTAACGTCGGATATAATGCTGTTAATAGAACGAAAGTGAGACAGGTGGCAACATTCACCCCCGACGTTTAAAAACTTTTCTGGTTTCAATAGCCTAATCTGTTCTGCGCTCGGTGCAAGCTTTATATTTGAATCATTCTTACTGATGATATTGTGTTGTTAATTCTAGTATTCTAGATCTGAAAACAAATCTAGAAATTCTACCAACCCCATCGAAAGACGATTCTACATGGAAATGACATTTAAGTTATTTGTAGATTTTGATGGTTTCAAAAATACCTTATATTTCATATCTTTTTATTGATTATTATTCAGTCTTTATATGAAATTCTAAATTGGTCGTATTTGAATAAAATTATGCATCCAAAAACCTATTTATATCAACAGAGTTTTTCGTGCGACGTGTTAATTTGACATTTTCAAATCCACAGGGATAAAACTACTTTGTCAAAATGATTTACTGTAGGTCAAGACGAACAAACCAATACTGACAATTAAACCTCCCTAGCTGTCGATTTACACAAAACATCAATTCACGTCCAACCGAGACAAGCTTTAGTTCAGACAAAATATAATCTTCAGTAGATATATATGCTTATATGCGTAACACTCACTATATCTTCAGTCCCGGTGGAGTGGGGGTGGGGGTGGGGGGGCTTTTACCCCCCCCCCCATCCGCAATAATTTAGCCGCAAACACTCTTTTCTACCGGGCTGTTAACATAGAAGAGAGACTTCTAGAACGTAGACATTCAGAAAAAAATCTTGTTATGCTCTGTACTGATCACTGGGTAAAAAGATACTCCCAGTTGCAAGGGTCACGATTAGTTAACCGAATAGTCGACCTTTATCTCAATCCCATCTCACAGATTGGGTAATTAAAAAAAAGAAAAAAAAGACGGGATTGAGTTTTTCTCACACTCTTTCCCCGTGTCCCTTATCTATCAAATGGATGGAGTTTAACGTCCACTGGCCACAAACTAGGGCATTTCGGGACTAACATATAGTTCAATTTTATTTCAATGATTCGTTTGCGCGTTGGGATCTTTAGCAGTGGGAGGAAACCGGAGGACCCGAAGAAAACCCACGAGGTTGGACAGGCGACCTTACTCCTTGTCACGTACAACCGGGAAATCGAAACCACGCCATTTGACTCAATGACAGACCTTATGATAGAGCGCACACGCGCTAACCATTCGGCCACCCCCTCCCCCTTCCCTTAGTACATTAGGAGTTATTATAATATCTACAGCCTGGGTTTAACAAGCCTAGAACTCAGACCTAACGGCTGGAACACTACACTGTCTCTATCCCAAACTCGAACCAGAGACTGAGAGTACGTCCTAAGAATCATGCATAATGTTCTCGCCGGCCGTAAGCTAGGCTAACGGTATACCTCACTAGGAAGCCCACATAATATCTTCCCTAGGAACTTCAAATGATGTCTGAAGGGAAATATCACCCCCCTCTTTCTTATGAAAGTATAGATGCGTAAGCTATTAAGGCGGGGCAATTACCGTTTTTGGGTAAGTGTTTAGTATGGGCACCGTTTTACGTCAACATTATTCTGTTTAATTGGACTAATCTGTGCACGAGATGGCTGGACGATAGTACCCTACTTTCAGCAATTGATGGTGACAGGAACTGTCTATGAGTTAGTCTAAGAAAGTTCAATCTTGCAAAATACCTACTTAGCCTATTTTTCGTTGTCACCCATTTGTTTAATCACTTCAATATATTAAACACCTTTCATAGAACTATAATAACCCCTATAGTATTACATAAGTAATGTATAATTTTTGAGATCTTATTCCCTTCAATTTACGCCTCCAAACATGGTTAGATCTATTTACCAAGGCCACCTGCAGATTTCCTAGCTGTAAACAGGGCTAATGCTAACCTTAACCCTAAACCTAGCCCTAAGCCTTACCCTAACACTAACCCACAATCCTTGGCAACAATCAGGCGCCCAAACCCTATTTACATCTCGTGACCTTGAAGAAATCCGCAGGTGACGTTGGTAAATAGATCTGAGCCCCAAAACACTGATCAATAAAAGACAGATATTTTTGGGATGTTACAACATCTATTTTTTAAAGTCATGTTTTAACCAATTTCAAATTCGGGATTGTTTTCACAATTTGTGCAGTACGACCGGCTGATATTTTGATGTCAAACCTGCTTTCAATTCTTCCAAATTAATTCAAAGATCTGATGTCCCCGTTGGCCCCAACCTGCTTGAATATTTCCTATAATACTACTTTCTTTTAATTTAACACATTTCATATACCGTTTATCTTATTCTAGCGTCACTAGAGATTGATGTTTTTCTTTTCGGTACTAAATCACCATAAAATCTGTTCGATGTAGGGTTAAGTCAGAACAAAGTTACGCTTATTATACAAGTACACACATAAATAATTCATGACCCTGATTAACATCTACCCTTTGTGTTACTATGTAAGAGCGCATCATCGTCCTTTCATTTTTTTGTTCAAAAGTACAACGTAACGGACATTTGTCTGACTTTGTGAATTAAATTTTAAAACTTCTTTACAAGGTAAGGTTTTAGTTTCTATATGCATAAGCCTACATCAAAATGTATTAATATAAAATTACCGATTAGCATGATTTCAAAAGCCTTTAATTACAGCTAATAAAATGCTGAAACGCAGTTGTTTGCTTTTATCATTAATATAGAAATGCTAAGTATAGAACTTTGAATAACAGCCGTTTCAAATACAATATAAGTAAGTAAATAGTGGTCTGTCTTCATTTAAATTTTACTAACTGGATAGCACTTTCCATACGTTCTTTTGAATACTTAGTGAAACATATTTTCGAAATTCTTATTTATAATATAGCAACTCATTTTCTAGTAAACATCTACGTAATTTCAATTCACCAAAGAAATTCCGGTTTGACGTTTTCGAGCAACCTTATAGCACGTGTTTATAATTTCTGACATAAACAGGAGAAACAAGACCAACTAGTTATCAATGAACATGTATTTTTGTCTTGTTTATTACGCATTTAGTATCCTTTACTGCGCTGGTTATAATGTATTCAAAATAACTAAACAATTTAGCGAGAAATATGAAGCCGTTAAATCTAATTTATACCTTAAAGGCGACCGAAAAAAAAAATGAGTATAGTTCCTTGACAAACAGTTCCTGTCTAGTTGTGTTCGGAAAGGACGGTAGGCCGTAGGGCCGATGTCAGGGCACAAGTTCCCTCATAGCACACTGCATGGGGGGGGGGGGGTATGCCCGTGTTCACTAGCCCGGTCGGAGCAGAACAGTAGGACCTTAAATCCAAATTTATTTCGTTTCATTTTATCATGAGAAATTCCAAAAATAAGGATTAGTATAACCCAGGAAAAAAGTTTTACACACCCTATTACTTGCAACGGGTAGGAATTAATTTTTAAAATAAAACCAATGACGTGTAAGAATCTATACGTATTCTGAGGGTCATTAGTTCATTTCTTAGTTCATGAAAAGTAGTCTCCCACCCCGTTGCGACATTATTTTTAAATTTATAGACAAAGAATAGAGATATAAGATGGTTTAAAAAATATTTGTATCTTTACAAATTATTCTCTATTGTCAGTATATTAGCTATGGTATGAGTTTATTTAAAACGCAAATTAATTGTTTATGAAATAGTGTGAGAATAACAGGAAAGAGGCTCTAAGTTCAAGGATAGATGGTGTCAAAAAACATGTGACTGGAAATTACCTATTGCATCATTTGGTTTAGTTTGACCAATCTCTGTAATTATTTACATCATATTTGATCAATTAGATAATTGAAGGTCCAAAGTCCAAAGCTACAAAACTATCATATTGGTGGGCGATTGTCAGGCAACAGTTTGATTCCAGAAGGGAAAAGATGTAGCAATTTCTATCAGCAGACTCGCCCAGCGAGTCTGGTTGGATGAGGTTTGAGAGAATGACTTTATTCTATTATGCATTGTACCATATGTAAGCAGCTGTGATATATAAAATGTAAAAACGAACTGTTACATTATTATTCCTGGTAAGACAACCGTCTTAAGAAAACAGTAAGAAGTAAATACACAACGTGAAGCAGAAGCAAAGTCAGCTAGAGACAAATTTTAGACGATCACAAGGCTACTAAGATATGTAGTAAGAAAAGATGCATGGTTCATACGTAGGATGTGGCGACCGGGGATGGTTCCCCCGCTCTCCACGTCTGACGAAAGGCCCGTGGTACTACACATACACCAAATTATTGTGCTGTATTTGCCCATGACCTGCCCAGTGTTGAAGAGATGTTAAAATACAAGTATTACTTTTCATCAACACTTTCTATTATTTTCTTCAACTATGACGTCACATAGTCTAAGTATAGTGATCATGATTTATTGGAGTAAAAGTGGTTGTTTGTTGAGTCAATATTGAAGTAGAATGTATTTACACTCGTATATAAGTCACATCCATACCACTCTTCTCGTTAAATTGTTACATATCTCACATCTTTTAAATCTACGTCCACTGGTATATAATTATAGTTTCAACATAGGTGACCTTGGTGAAGGTCAATGTAACAAAGATAGAATACATGTATATAATGATTATGCATGGTAATAAATGAGTGAAAAATTATCTATATTATTCCTGTTTTCGATTTTCAATAGGCATTATGTCATCCTAAATTAAATCTCGATCGACGTTCTGGTCGCCCACTGTGGGTTTTGATTAATCAAGCAAAATTTTTATCTTAGCTGTCCAATCTGAGTTGATTAATCTTCAGGTGAATTATACTCTAAACTGTTGGTTTGTATTTGAGTCAGTGAAATTTGTTCAAACCAAACTGCTGAACATTGTTCTGTGAGTATTAAATACAAGTCATTCACCATACTAACTATTGTGATTCTAATTGTATTCTGGATATCGAATAGCTCGTGTTCACATCCTGATGCTGATCAAATTTCAGGTTCCCGAAACTGAAGCCAATGAGCGACAGTTATGACAAATGGTTCACATTGCCCTATGCTACCTGGACTCAAAGCCTACAATATCTTATGTTCTGGAAATCTGCCATGAGCCCCTACCAACGCTTTTTCTCGACTTCACCAAATTTAAAATGGTTGCAACTGTGATAAATTGTATTTCGTTTTTTGTATTGTGAAACCGATTGGAGATCAACCATTGTGTACCACGGACTTGTGCTAAGAAAGATGCGTCCCTGGTGTTTTCATGTATAATGAACCTTATGGAAGTATATATTATTGCGCAATACGGATTTGCACTTAGATGCGTCTTTTATGTAATCGTATTTATCAAATACTCACTATACAAACATCTTATCCTTTCTGTTGTTAGGGGACGTTAGGTGGCTGAATGATTAATGCGTGTGCATAGGTCTGTCATTGTGCCAAGTGGCGTGGTTTCGAATCCCCTCTTGTACGTGACAAGGCGCAGGGTTGCCCGTTCAACCTCGTGGTTTTTCTCCGGGTGTTCTGGTTTCCTCTCACTGCTAAAGACCCCTACGCGCATGGGAATTATTGGAATAAAATTGAACCATGTGTTAGTCCCTAAATGACCTAGTTTGTGTCGAGTGGACGTTAAACCCCATCAATAAAAGTAAATGACACTATTATATAGACTGGACGATTATTACTATGGAATTCGTAAGATTGAAAATCGTTTTAGAAGCAGTATTCGCTAAATTGACTTCCCCCAATATACGATATATCAAAAACTCGGACCTATCAAGCGATTACAAGGTTTCGATGAAATATATGTTAAACAATCGCAAAACGTTTAAAAATAATTCACATACAAAGTTTGATAGTGTTCACGTTTATGACTAAACAATCGAATGATCCCATGTCGCTGAATTGAGTTCCCACGAAATACGAAATATCAAAACCCCGGACTTATTGAGCGATTACAAGGTTTCGATGAAATGCATGTCGAACAATACCAAAACGTTTAAACATAATTCACATACAAAGTTTGATAGAGTTCAGGTTTTGGACAAGACAATCGAATGATCAGAGTATGGAGTTAAACAGACCAATGTCGGGGGTTGACGACTACACATTTTAAAAGATGTGGGCACATAAAATAAATGAATGCTATTTTTCGTACTGTGTCGCCTTCCACAATAGATTTCCTCTGTTAAAATAGCAGACCTACTCAATATATACATGTTGGAAGTATCTAAGATTCCAATTTTACCGACATTAAAACGAACAGGAAGCGTTTAGGAGTAACCGTATTAGTTGTATAGTGACTAAACTTTTTAAAATATATTATGTATAACATTTGAAATGTTGGGCAGAAGTCTGACATTAAAATATGATTTCTCATTTTAAATGCAAAACTTCGATAAAAAAGAAAATAGGTTTGAATGCAAAATTTATCATGAGAAATTCCAAAAATAATGGTTAGTATAACCCAGGAAAAATGTAATCTATACGTAATCGGAGGCTTATTATTATGCTCACAAATAAACTTTCGAAAATATAATTCGTTCCCGATTGCCATTATTTTATTGAAATCCGTTGCCTACCAATAACCCTCACCCACCCCTTACAGTAAAAACAAGTTTACTATTCAAAATAGTTTGAGTACATCTCAGTATCACCAAATAACACAACAGTCTATAGATGTCGCTTGTGTGAGATATCGCTTTACATGAATTTGATTTATACCCAAAGAATTATATAGTTAGCAACATAGGACCGCCTATAGTTAATACAGATTTTTATATTTCAATCGAAAAACATACCTGCTATATCATTCTTTTTGACAAAAATATTAAGTTCAATCGACTTTTCCGTTAAAACTGACAAAAAGCACCTTCGTGCACCAAGAAGTCTGTAAATAGCTGAACCTTGACAGTTCTGTTTGAAACACAGTTTCATCGGTGGAATAGGGTCAAATCCCCCCCCCCCCCACAAAAAAAACCAACCCCAAAGAACCCCAACAAACCAACCTTATGTTAGATACCATTGTAGAGGTCGATGTTCATGGATAAAAATGTGTTTATTCTTCAATACCTGTCTGACGGTTTTTTAGGCAGTAAACGTGGCGGCGTGACGTCATTAACAAGTAATATGAAAGTTAGTTAGATGTCTATATCTTACATGGGTTTGATTGATTTTTATAACGGATCAATAGACTCTTTGGTAAGATTACTTTTGTATTGTGTTTGGTCTAAATATTTGTATTACTATTTAGACTGGAATATTGTGCTTTCAATTAATGTCCGATGTTGTTTATTCTTTTAGGGTGTTAGATAAAGGGAACCGTGAAGAAGACACACCCTAACGCCAACATGTTGTCAGTAGTACTGGTAACCGCCTTAATCCTGGCAGTTGGTGCCCAGACAACAGAGTAAGTACTAAATATTTAAATTAAAATATACCATCTCATAAAAAAAGGAATTACAAATTAAGTACTCTATGCAAAAATCGCGTAATATATAAGATTTAAAAAATATGCCAGTCTTTAAACAATTTCTTTCACTTCCCGTAGAAAATGATATACTAATTGGATTTTAAGCCCCAAGGCAGGTGACTGACCCAGTATAAAGATGAGGTAAAGGATCCTATAAACTTGTTTATGTCTTTCATAAAATGCATAGCCTAATGTTTGACCTAAGAAACCCGTACTTTGGATATTTTAATATAACAAAATCGTTCTGTAGACAGAAACACGTTAGGGGTCTGTAGAAACATTTAAGGCAGCGAAATGCTTGGTAATTTACGCTTCGGGGAAAGACGACCTTATGTCTGAATAAGAAAAATGACTGTTGTCTGCTTCCATTTCGAAACGGAGGGAAATATCTTACAGAAGTTGGTTAAAACAGTGTGACCCAGTTTTTGTCACATTTATTACTGCCGCATGCCAAATATATTACCGTGACAAGACCTGTGACATTTTTACAGATTTCATTAACATACCCATGCATAGTGATAACGGCCTATATTATTTTTATTTAAAATCCAAAACACACCATTCGACAATGTCGTGCCTGGGTTAGGTTTGATTTGGCAATCATTGCAAACTGTGTGTGAGTTAGTTGTATTTTACGTCCGCTTCCACCGAGGTGATATCGCAGGCAAAATGGCAAACTGTATACCAGCTCATCTTTATACCCGGCCTCCTCCCACCCCCCAAAACACAACAACAAAACAAAAAAACCTTCCAAAACCACACGTATCATAGTTATGGACAGACGGAACGAGTTAAGGGTTGAATCACAATCACACCACGATCTATGCCACACAACCGAGAAGATGCCAGCTATAAGAATCACAATACATGAAAAAGAAGGGCCACCATAATGAAATGCATTAATCGAAATTTAAGACTTATGCATGTCAAGGACTATTTGTCGCCGTCATGTCGATTTCTCGTCGGCGACAATCTATCGTGTTATAGAATTCACCGATGATTATTGCAAACAATTACTTTGGTGTGTGCATACCTTTACACTCTCACGGTATGTCTCTACAAAAGTCATTACAATTTCACAGAAGTCATTACGATTTACAGAAGTCATTACGATTTCACAGAAGTCATTACGATTTCACAGAAGTAAGTATCAAGTTTAAAATGCCACCCGAAAGAAACCATACCAAGAAAACGTCCTTTTAAAATCAGTTTGGTTTTATGTAATTGTCTCTTTTATAAGTAAACATAGAAACGTCATTTTTTCTATATATATATAGATTGATTAGAAAGACTATATAGGCAGAGAATTTATTTTCTCTTGTGAAACACGTGATTCCCATAACATTAGTAAAGGAATGTAAATGTGCAATGTAAATTTCATTTGAAAGAGTAAACAGCGCACTTTAAAACGCCCTGTCATTTCTATGAATATATGTACATATTGCATGTGTGTTACTCAACGGGTTAAACTAGTTTAATACAAGATGACGGTATTTTTTATAATGTTGAAATACTGTACTATTAACTACAATGCTTACGCACTTGAGCAGGGGTGTTGCATGGCTTACGTAATTACAAAATTCAACGTCAATTGCATTACATAACCAAATCAATCGGATTCAAGCGTTGTTGTGACTTTAAATTTGCATTCGGTATACACTCTTTAGTACATTCAGATTCGTTATAACGATTTATTAAAAAAAGCCGTACCAGAGCGGCCTTGTTAACTATAGCCATTATTTACATATGATAAAACTTTAAACTATACGTTATATTTTGAAGGAAAGTATAGTATTGCTAAATACACTATAAGGTAGAAAAGATAACCGAAGTAGACAAAATAATAAAGACGATGTTTACATCAAGTTTAAATGATTTGACATTTAAGTTGTATACCTGATGTTTACAGATCGTGAGAACTTAGCCACTTTTTTCTAAACTTATACTATAAACACTAACCGTCAATTGGTAGTTAAGAAGATGGCGCAGAAGACGGCCTCTATTGACTCTGGTATCACCATTCATTACCCAGTACATATTATCGACTGACCATGGATAGCGATGTTGGCTATTTATTTTTGGGTCGTTGATGCATGCATATACTTATCTCAAACGGTCCCTTTGGAACTCCATTCATATGGGTGGGGACGGGGGGTAAAATGGGGAACACCTACACTAAAGTATTAACAGTGAGAGAGAGAGGGAAATGGGGTTTAACGTCTACACGACACAAACTAGGTCATTTCGGGACTAACACATGGTTCAAATTTATTTCAATAATTCACTTGCGTGTAGGGGCCTTTAGCTGTGGGAGGAAACCGGAGGACCCGGAGAAAACCCACGAGGTTGGACAGGCGACCCTACTCCTTGTCACGTACAACCGGGAATCGAAACCCCGCCAATTGACTCAATGACAGACCGTATGATAGAGCGCGCGCGTGCTAACCATTCGGCCATTCAACCTCCCTGAAAGTTGTACAATTGTTCATGAATGAGTAAGCATATCTGTCTTGCGCTTGACATTCATCACTGTCGTCAGGTTAAATGAAAAACCAAGTATGAAAAACTGACAATGCCAATTGTGTCATATTATGACAATCATTTTCTTGAATTTGTTTAAACATTATTTATAATTTGAAAGCCAAGATGGAGGCGAGATGGCCTTCTAAGGAGACAGACACATCTTTATTCTAATCAGAGCTTCACCTTCCATATTTATATCCCAGCCTAAATGTAACCTGGGGAAATTTTTAGCATTTCTGAAAAGCCGCACACCTCTGGCGTATTGGTTATTTTCTGTTAACCCGTTTTTCTAATCCTTGTTCAGGCCGTGGTGAGTCATTTATGAACTCATTTTTGTTCAAGCCATTTCAAAATCCGATAGATTTAACCGAAGGTACAAAACCCGTCATTCGACAACAAAGAAACATATCTATGAGTACTATCGCTAACTAGTACTAATAACAACGTTATGGAAATCTTCCAGCTTTGGATTAATTTATAGTACTCGATATAGAAGTAAAAAGTAGTTCACTATATTGCTGAGGAGTGTTCTGTTCAGATTTTTAGAAACACCAATAACGAACATGTGTATAAGAACTAGAGTTGACTGGTACCAAAAACAACATTATGGAGATCTTACGTTTTGTATTAGTTGAATAATACCCTATACGAACCTAAAAATTCTGACGAGAGGTCATGTTTTTATGTAGAATTCATTCATATATAATACAATTGTCATTATCATATTGATAATACGTACCATTTAACGTGCATATACGTATTATTCTCTATTATAATTCAAATATATATCACCTTATATTAATCGACCAGTCAAGTTAACAATGGAATAATGCACCGAACACGAGCAGACATCGTAGATTATAAATACTGCTTACGTAAAAGACCAAAACAAAAGATGGGATAGACTATTGGGGAGATCAGTATCATCCGCATATAAATGTGTTTTCAATGGATTTCAATTTTCGTAAACACATTAATAAGACATTAAGAATTTTGTCAACAATATATTTTTTTATTTTCATTTATAAATACACCAACTTGTTACATCGAAATAACGTATCAAAATATTATGTTTTTGTGTGTATTACGTATGTCAATTGCTAAATGCCGCTCAAAGAAGAAAATATTTATAGTTTAGAAAGTGGCAGCTCAAACTAATTTTGGACACTTATTATGATTTTTGTACCATCTGTCTTTGTTTTATATATATATGATTGATTCCGGTTCGAGTCCAGAACAAGTTCAAAGTGGTGGTTTCAATATTATAGTGAACTGCGTGTATCCCATTTAATAGCGTACACGGAAACGTAATTTGACAATCTATTTACGGGAGAGGATTTGGGATGTGCCCATACCAAGATATCCTGTTTACTGTGGATGGCAGCAAGGATGGCCTGCCACTGGAACTGAAATACCAGCTTGTGGCTACAGGACTCATGAAACATTAACCAAAATAAAATTCTTCTTAAATTCCACTTTAAAATATTCCCGCTAACACGTACCGGTATATTATGTTTATTGTATATTCAAATTCCAAAATTATATATTATTCATCTAAGGAAAAGATAGAGGGGCGAGCAAACGAAGGATCCAACCCGATACTAAATACCCCAGTTACACCCAGGATGTGACAGACGGGTCTAAGGTGTTGCAAAAAGAAAAAGAAGTGTGAAACTTATGAAGTTCCATCAATATGTAAATGGAATTAAAGTCATTTAAAATAAAAAATCTGATTTGAAACAAATATCCTAATAATATCTTTCCAGTTCCTGTGTTACACATATCAAAAAAGAAATTTTTTGCTTGCAGGGAAACAATTGAAGACAGGCCAGGCACTTACATGATATCATTTGTAAAGAAGATACGACCTGGTGTAAATTTAGATGTAGAAGTTAATATATTATCTGCTACTAGCCCTGTTAATCTTCAGATTAACCTGGTTAATGTTACTGATGGTAAAGCTTTAGATGCTGGATTACTAAACACATTCAATCAAGGTAAATAAAACTTTATCCTGCGGTTTCCCCACCACTGTTTTGTGTGGTTGGTTTGTAAATTCTAATATAAATGCTAGTGACGGGTGGTGTGTCCTTTTTTAAATGAAATAGTGTTATTAGCACGTCAGCCCCAACTGGACCATATTTCAAAATACGTATGAAATCTTCACGAGACACAAAACAGTTATGAGTTTAAAAAACAAGTATCACAGTTTCTCTTGTACTATATCTATATCAAACTTTTTCTCATTTTGTGGTAATAATATGTATGTCGCTCTTAATGGCCGCATTTATCTTTTCTTCTCTCCCCCCTTCTCATTACCCTCCTCTTTGTAGATAAATCATTTTAAAATAAAACTTTGTCTCCTTTAAAGAGTTAATAAGACTTTGTCTCCTTTAAATAGTTTTAACACGTCATATTGTTACGGTTGGGATCCTTTTACAAATGCGTAATTATACCATTAATTCGTATGCAGGTGTTCGACTATTCCATAATGACATTAATGTTATAATAATGAAATATGACATATATACAAGGATACGAAAATAGTTGACATGTTGTTGGGTTATTTTACTATTACTCAACGAATTCTTTCTCGATGACTTAACAACGCACATAAGTCGTTTTATTCATTTGTACAAAATGTACAGATTTCTAGCATAGCTGCCGAATGTGCATTACATCAAATGAAATGTAGTTTACGACGATTCATGTCACGGAGGCAGATAACGACTTTGGAGACGTATGTGATAGCCCCAATGACATTGCCAAATCATTTTTCATAAAGAGAATTTCATAATTGTCAGTTATTTTGTTGTAAAAGTTGTATATAGTAATCGTGCTTTGACAGTGTATGTGTGTGTGTGTGTGTGTGGATTATCCTGTAAATATGTGACGATATAGTCTGTACGTACACTCAACTATTATATTGTTAAACAAACTTCTATTTACAATAGAAACTGTAACTTATTCATTATTGCCTTAATGTGTTTACCTTTTTGGACGAATAATTGGTAACTTGCTCTGTTTGTCACTTATGGTGTTGACATAACAGTGCGAACGTGACATTAACATCGTTTGATATCGGGGTTAAACAAGGCGATCTTTTATCTCGGTTCATCATAATCAAATTCACATATGAATAAAAACACACGAAGAAGAATATGCTTACCTAAGCGTTCATAATATAACTAAATGCTAGGCTACCAAATGTTTTTTTCCCTATAAATTTGGCTTAACATAGAAAAGTCTTAATTGATATATATTTTATTCAAGTGCAGATGTTATTGCAAATCTGATCCCTATAAATGTCAGAGTTTCACAAGATCTAAATATTTTATTGATAGCCAAAATACACGATACAATACTAAAAAAAATATAACAGTGCACTAAGTGTAAGCAATAAATATTAATGTCAAAAAGACTGTTTTGCACGCCTCACAGAGTAAATTAAGCTAAGCAACAATAATCAACTTACCTCATACATCCAAGTACACAACACACTTTATATAGAAAGCAATATATATAAACACGGCGTTCCGATAAGTCTTTGTGTTCTCTTAACGTTATCAAGCACTTGTCGAAACGTTGTGCTGTGTATGTACAAAACAGTGAATGCTTTCCATATAAATTGTGTTGTGTTCTTTATTGTACCCAATTCAAACTGTAGCTATATGAGGTTTAAGCTGGAGACAGCAATAGCCCCCAGGAAGCTGGAAAGACAAATCAATAGTTCAATTATATAGTAACTGTCTTTTTGTTCAATTAACACTGAAAATCGTTTTTTTTTCTTTAGGTGTGTCACGTATCCAGTATCCGGTAAGTTATGCTAATATTATCTATAAAATGAAATATCATTATGGCAGATATCGCATACAAGCACCAACTCTCCAATCACATTCATTGAGTCGCTGCGGCTCAGTGAGTAAGGTGCGGGCTCGCTAACAAAGGGTCTCGGGTTCGCGCCTGGTTTTGGTCGAGAAAGTTCCTCGAGATTTTCCGGCGTGGTTTCTCCTTTTCAGTGGTACAGGAAGGATGGGCCTGGCAAGGAACAATATCTGGTCGTTCGGTTTAGACGAAGAACCGAGAAGTTCTCGTGTACACATTGACGTACACATAAAAGAATCCTTGGAAGTTGCAATTCGAAATAAAAGTTGGCCGTAGTGCTGCTGTCCGATCCAAATTTCCCCAATAGCACATTGTATAGCGTATGCCCTTCTTCATTAGCCCACATTCTAATACCCACACGCTTTATTAAATACCAAGGACGGACGCAGAAGGGGACATGTATCTAATTCTTAAGACCCAGTCAAAAATAATTTCTTCTAGTATCTTTGAAGAAAAACTCCTTACACGTGTTTTGGTGAATTTCAGATTCCCGGTGATTTAAAAAGAAACAGTTGGCGAGGTTATAGGTTAAACTTTACAGCTACTGGTGGTTTAACTTTTAATGATAGTGCCACTTTAGATTTCGACAGCCAAAATATGTCCGTCTTTATACAGACCGATAAAGCTATGTATAAACCCGGTCAAACAGGTAATCTTTATCAAAAGATAATTTACATACTATATCTTTACAAGTTCTGTTAACTTACAAAAATATGTTAGTTTCCTTAGTTTATTGCCAAGTTACTCATTTACCTGATGGACTTCCATCTTGGCCACCCTTTTCAGATTAATATAATCGTTTATTAGGTCAGGGTGACAGACAACCATAAAAACACAATTATGCCTTTTGGTCCTCTTCTCTGGCAAACATTTAGAGTGTCATCAGGCAAGATTCTTTCTGGTTCTAATTCTTATTATTTATTTCAGTCAAATTTCGAATAATGGCGGTTGATTCATTATTAAAGGTTTTAACCTTACCAATGGATGTGTTTATATATGTAAGTTTATTGTATATTTTTGGATGTTTGGTTAGATTTCTTCTTTTTGGCGAGCCGCGGATGCTCAGTAAGTACGGCACTGACTCGCTAACCTGGATATCCCTCCTGGTGATTCGCCGTGTTGAGCAAGAAGGTCCCGGTTCGATTTCCTCTTGTCATATATGCAGGACAGAGAGGCTGCCAAGACAAAGCGCCTAGTCGTTCGGGTGGGATTAAAAACCCAGGTCCCTTGTATACTTTGGTGTGCACGTAAAATAACCATTAAACATTGTCCGGCAAAAATTCCCATATGGATCAATGCATGCCGTTTGCCCGTCCTCCTGTGCTCGGATTGAGCAGAAGAGTAGGAGGTTACACCCCATTTCATTTGCTTCTTTTGGACTTTGACAGATAGAATGAACAAAGCTATTAATTATTGCTTACTAGACACGTACACTTAGCATAATAAGTTCAATATTCAAAATAACCCAGATAAAGACAGATATATTTTAGTATTCTTTAAAGAGGATTTTAATTAAGTCAACATAAACCCCAAAATTTCAGTGATCTGAGGTGTTATTAACGACGGGGCCCGCTCTGAAGGACTCATTTTTTGTTTCCAATGGTTACGTTTTGTATTAGGCTTACTGTTTTCGAAAGGACCGGGCTTTATTTTCATGCAAAGTCTGATGTAATCGACAATTATATTTTTGGGTCCAGTAATTTCACAGGACATGGTCCAATGTTTCAATATGGTGCCCACATGGTTAAAAATGACAATGTTTTGGTAGTTAACTGTTAGTCATGTTTTTAGCCCTTTTAAACTGTATATCCGCCAGTGACGTCACGAACTTAAAATTGTGGCTAAAGCGTTTTCAAATTATGATTTTAATAGCCGCCAATGTTACACACGAATTATTAGAATATAGAAATGAGTAGACCATGTCCTTTAGCGAAGGAGAATTCCAGTATAGTTTATCATGCAATAAACGTAATTAGGCACGATAAAACGTCAACAGATTTTGTAGAATGTATCTGAAAGGACCGTAGATGAATGAATTGATAACACAAGCTTTCTTTATTCCAAACTGATTCTATTAAAAGGATCCACAAAACAATAGAATAAAACAATGGTTGAAAAAGGTAGGAACAGCTGGGCTGATAGAAGAAGAAATGGTCACATCGACTGAACCACTCATGGGAGACTGGAAAATCAAAGTTCAAGCCAACGTAAGTTGTTTCACTTTTATCATTTCCGATACGTCCGTGGCAAAACATAAATCTCTTGCTGAAACAGTTTTTCAGATGTAAGTTTGATAAGTATAAAGGTACAGAAGTATTCTTCCCCCAACAAATAATCTGAACCTTTATATTAACTTGTTACTGTTTTTATCCCCGGATTGACGTCCAAGTGATCTATTCCGTATCTTGCATCTACTCTACTTTAAATTATAATTTTAGGGCCAAGAAGAAGAGATAACTTTCACAATTGCTGAATATGGTAAGCTAAAATTTTAATTTATACTGTTCTCGATTATGTCAAATTCGTCGATAGTTTGCCTTGTTTGCGATCTTTTTTCTTTTTTGTAATAATTATTATGATTTTCTGTGACTTTTCCAGTTTTACCCAAGTTTGAAGCGAATCTCGAATTACCTAGTTTTGGATTTGTTAATGATACATCTATTACCGGAAAAGTAACAGCCAAGTAAGTTAGCTACTGCATTCTTAGAACCAGTAAAATCATTTCCATTGACAGTGTTAGGTGATACACCAAGAGGTTCCCACATCAACTAGGTAAAAAGTCAACACCGACATTAATTATTTTGCAGAAAACGATAGCTATATAACTGTCTCATAAGCTTGTCAAGAATACCGCTCTCGGGATAACAAAGTTATAGTAACCTCTTTGTAACATGTACCTGCGTTGTGTCGGAGCAGAACGAACAGTAAGACGTTAAACACCAATTCATTTCATTTCATTTCTATTTGCGTTTCTGTACTTGGTGAAAAATAACTCACGATATTATTAATATTTTAGTAATCAGTGTTGAAGTTGTATTTATTATGATATTTTAGATATACATTTGGCAAACCAGTAACCGGCTCTGTTAAACTTGTCGCTAATTTAAAATATTGGAGGGGATGGTGGCGTAATGACGGAACAAAACCACCACAAATAGTGAGATCCTTGATGGTAAGTTAAACAAAATCCGATAAAATACAGAATAAATTAATGTATTCGACCGATTTACCAAAAGCAGTGCCCGTTAAACTTAGTGACGACACATTGAAATAGTGAGTAGTTCCGATGACGTTAACGGCGTTATCTAAACCAGCATTAGCACTTGAACGACGCCCCATATAATGTTTCTAAAAGTTTATCCGAGTAGCTGACATCATTATTTATCGTTTATTAGAATATAGAAAGTAAATTCAATCATCGCACATAGAATTTTTTTTCTGCAGTATTATGTTGTATTATCCTGTCACTACCCATTTACAACTGGTTAACCTGATCTTGAAAACAGGCTTTAAAGTCTTATCCTGAAATACAGGGAATTGATTGAGAACAGACAACCTTTGTCGCCTGTCCAACCTCGTGGGTTTTCTCCGCCCCCCCCCCCGGTTTCCTCCCACTGCTAAAGCCACTACGCGCGAGCGAATCATTAAAATTAAAAATTCAACCATGTGTTAGTCCCGAAATGACCTAGTTTGTGTCGAGTGGACGTTAAATCCCACCTCTCTCTCTCTCTCTCTCTCTCTCTCTCTCTCTCTCTCTCTCCCTCTTTCTCTCCCTAAAAGTGCCAATACTTAAATAAATAACCAGAAGCTAGATTATAACAAAAATTCTAGATAAAAAACGGAACGGTGAACTTTACTGATATATTAATATATTTAGAAGTCCAAAATAATGTAATATACCATTTTCTTTTCATTTTTTTGAAAAAATTAGATGAAAGATGGCACAGTCGACTTTACTCTGGGTATGAATGAAGTTAAAAATCTGGTTGTTTTAAATAATCCCAACAGTACATACCCATATTCACTGAGTTGGGAAACATTGGAAGTAAAGGCCAACGTTACTGAAACTATCACAGGAAACAAGATGTCAGCTGAGGGAGATTTACAGTTCTTTGATAATCCTATTAAAATGAATTTTATGAGCAATTTACCCAGAACCTACAAACCCGGTTTAAAATATACGGCAATTGTAAGTATTTTTTTTATTTTGAAATAAATGGACAGAAAGATATTCGTAATGTGGTTTGGTACGTGCAGTGATTCACATATTTACTCGAGCCCTTTAGTCAGTTGGGATTAGCAAAGACAAATGTTAGTCTTAAAATGACCAAGGTATTGTGTATAAGAGACGCGGAATTTTCCCTGTCCCAGGCTTTGATTGGAAAGTTGATCAAGAGTCGACCAATCTCTATATGTGGTTTACTGAACGCGCCTTATAAAGAAATGCCTGTAGCCTAAGATTAAACAGGCATATTGAAGGTCTTTCTTTGTGCCTTAAATGTTATATAAACTATTACTTAGAAATTGATTAACTTACTAAGACCATAGTCAACACTCGATGCCATTATGATAGTCTAGATTTCCACTAGGTTTAAATGTCGATGATTTAACGTAAAAGTGGATAACCGAGACTTTGTTTATTATCGCAATAACGGAAGCAATGACAATCGAGGCTACACGGTGAAGTAATTTGATTGAAATTTTCAACACATTCTATATTTCCATTATCTATTTTTATCCATTATAGCAAGCAAGAACTGTCAGCTCTTTATCTAATCTTACAAAATGCTCCTTTAAGTGAAAATTGTTGCTGTTGTTCTTAGTGTTTTAATATCCGCTTCCACCGAAGGTGATATCGCAGACCATAAACGGAAAGAAATTTCTGGACTGGTTAAACTCCATTCTATTCCGATTCTTTATTACAGGACGCTTTCGTATATATACTTTTATGTCGTTTTTTTGTATTAGGATCACGCGAGGTCCTATATTAATTTAAAATGCCATCAATTATATTTTAGTTACGGGTAACACGACAAGATGACAGTCCTATATTAAAACCAGGCAAAGTTAAAATAAATGTCACATACGACGTGGAAAAACCCAGAACTACAACTACATCCACAACCACAACACCCGCTCCCAAAACTAAAGAGCCGAGTTTTATCATACCACCAACAGACACTTTAGAACCCTTTACGCCTAACAGGTAGAATATTATTCATTACTCCTTACTTTGATTAGAATTTATAGTCCTATTTTCTTCGGGATGGGGTTGGTGATACCTGGATTCCTTTAAGGGGCCGGGGTCCTTTACAGTTTCTTATTACCCCCCCCCCCCCACCCAACCGCATATCTGGATCTCAATAGAGTATAATGGTGCCACATTACGCGCAATGCAGCGTTTTTCTGGGGAGCACACACCGTTATAGGGAGTTATAATTTTTCAGAGGGCAGTGGAGGACCAGGTACTGCAGTACCTCTCCCCCACCCCTTCGGCAACGGGCCTGTCGGCTGATAAACGGGTTTGTTTTCGATTTAAAATTGTTATATTTTGTGCATTGTTAAGCCATTCGTAGATTTAACAGTTCTGATCTTGTTCTTTATACGTTTTGTGTAGATTACAAACGATTGACCTGGTTGGGTTCCCATCCTATTATTACCCAACGTATGACACTAAAACTCTAGAGGCCAAGTTCCATGATGTTGGTGTAGACGGTTTTGTCAAGATCACTGTCGATGTGCCTTCCGTGGCTTACAGAATATCATTGAAGGTAACTACAGTAAAAATTCATTAATCTGACACATTTCTATGAGCAATGAACGTGTGGTGAATTTTGACTATCTTTGTTTATCTAAAATAGGTGATGCAGGGAACTGCAGATGATACAAGTATACTATAGATACGTACACAACTTCAATAGCAAATCGAAATAATTTTAAAGAAAGCACATACGCAAAGTTGTTGCGGTGTTGATGAAACTGTTACAGACAATATTTCATCGATAAATATTTAAACGCACAGCAGTAGAGATAGCATAATGAAATAAAATACAAACACGACAGTAGTAAATATATCGGACCTAAAATTAGAACTAAAACCTTATTTTATTTTTACAAAGTGTAAATTCTAACCTTTTTGTGAATTTTGAAATGTATGGATCATTTGTTTAGATGTGTTATAAAGCAAGAAGGGGGTATAAATATTATGAATCTAAAACCTTTTTACAAAATGTATTTCTAACCTTTTTGTGAATTTTAAAATGTATGGATCATTTGTATAGATGTGTTATAAAGCGGGAAGGGGGTTATAAATATTATGAATCTAAAACCTGAGAATAAATTAACTTCAAACGAGAAGGGATTCTTTTTATCATGTATAAAAATATCAGATTTACAGGTTTTGTTATTAATATATGTTATATAGGACATCTGCTTTTGAAGTGCCACAATTTTCTGTGCTTAATATATCAACATTTATCTGGTAATTGTTGTTTTTTTTTTCTTTTAGGCGGAAGGATTTGAAACCAGTTCGTATTTATCAGCATCCAGATCTTATTCTCCAAGTGAAAATTACATTCAGATCTCTATGTTAACTCAATCACCAAAGGTAAGCATGTTGTAGGCATATTAGTAAACAACGACTCGAGTAACATTTCCTTTCAAAATTATCGCTGCTATTATTAGCTATAAGTGGTGAACGGTGTTGGCTGTGATTTCTTGGAATTTGCTAGACTTGGGAAGCTGACTGGCAAGGATGGGACAAAACTGACGTCCCGTAGCAGCATTCCCTGACCGGAAATCGAAATAGCAGTAGATTATAGCACCGATGTTCGTGCAAAATGCTCCGATAGCACACATCATGCCGTATCGCCCGATTCAGTTAGCTCGGTTGGTAGAGAAAATTAATAGTTTAACGATAGGCTCAGTTTTATGGAATCACATTTACAAAATGTATTACCAAATACCGTTTGAGCATGGATTCAGCAAAGGGTGATGATGCCCGGTTGGTTGTTTCGATACTCACTCTGGCAGTAGGTCGAATCCTTTAGTCTTTGAATAAGTCACTTTCTGGTTGTAAATGGTATAGATTGTGTATTATATTTACACAACAAAACAATTTGCCCCAATAAAGCGATGCTCAAACTATTTACAGAATAGAAATTTAAAGCGGCGTATTGCCTTCGCTCTTACATGTCTATTTTTTTAATATTATTTTGCTATTGAACGTTATAGGTTGGTGTTTCTGCAGCTTTTGAGTTGAAATCTACAGAACCATTATCAAGTTTCACATACCAGGTAAATAGTGATAATATCAATCATGTTTAACACTGTTGAAATAATTTGGTTTATTATGTAGTAGACACGGCCAAATATTTTGATTTAAAGTATGTGTATGTGTGGGGGTGGGGGGATTTATATCCCCGTCTAAGTATGTCTAATTATTCCTGCATTCATATGAAAACAGAAGACGGGGTACGCCGCTGTCCGCGAAAAATGTCGCTTAAAGCACACTGCATAATGTATTAGCCCGACTGACGTTAAGCCCCATTTTACTTTATTTCATTTCATTTTCTACGAAAACCCTCCGTGGTAAATATTACAAGACTGACGTTAAACCACATTTTACTTTATTTCATTTCCTATGAAAACCCTCCGTGGCAAATATTACAAGTGTTTTTTTCATTCTAATCTCTTATAGGTTCTTGGACGTAGTAAGCTGATCACAACTAAGGAAATTACCACAACAACTCCTGCTATACTAAACACATTTTTCGTTAACGTCACAGCAGAAATGGCTCCAGACGGTAAATTAATCGTTTACTATAAAAGACCAAATGGTGAAATTGTCGCGGACTCCATTTCTTTTAGTATTCAAGGACTCTTTGAAAATGCGGTAAGAACTATTATTATTTATAAACAAATTACCACACAGGTAATTGCAATTCTAATTTTGTCAAATGTTTAAATCACAATATTTCACTGGATAAGTTTTTGTTCGTTTATGTAAAAACATGTTGAATTCAAAGTGTTTCTAGATATTTATAGAGTAGGCGTAATAATTATTTCTTCACCGACGGTATAATAATATTAATTCCATGTCATATCTTGGCCTAAGCCTAACATTGAACTGTGGATCTAATCATCATATCGGTAATTAGATCCCATCAACGTACAATTATCTGACGAAAATCTGATTTGTTGCTGCATGAGTTTAAATGAATTTATTGTGTAAATCATTGATACTTCACAAAACGCCTATCAGTAGAGGTAAATTCCAGACCGTTTCATTAATTTTAGACCAATCAATAAAATGTTAAGAACGAACGCTTACTGTATTTCTAAAATTAGTGGTCTGAAACCAGATGTGTATTTATCTCCCTTTATATACTGCACACCCAAGAGCGATTCCAATCTAGTACAGGTGACAAAATTAGACTTGATTATAGTAGCGAATACTTCGGCTTATTGAACATTATGACTATAAGATTTTGACGTAATTTTAATATCTTCAATAAATCTATTCCCGCTACATACTGTCCGCCATAAGTCCCAACATGACCGACTGGGACCAGGCGCCAAAGTTTGTAGAATATATAGAATATATAATTTAATTATTTTTTATTAATCAGATAACTGTGGATTTTGATCAAGCTAAAGTAAAACCTGGGGCACCTGTTAAACTAACAATTAAAGGTGAACCAGGATCCATGGTTAGTTTACGAACTGTAGATAAAAGTGTTGATCTTTTAAAATCTGGTAATGACATCACAACAGATACGGTAAGTCAATATTTTAGTTTTTGAATAGGCGCGATTTCCCCTTGTCAGTGGTGCAGGGCGGAAGGCCTGGCAAGGACAGGTGTCTAGTCGTTCGGATGGGTAGTAAAATCGAAGTCCCGTGTACACATTGGCGTGCACGTAAAAGATCCTTTTGCAGTTGGAATTCGATGTAAAAGTAGGCCATAACGCCGCTGTGCTGGCAAATTTCCCTTATAGCACACTGTATGGTGTATGCTCGTCTTCAATAGCCCAGTCGGAGCAGAACAGTAGGACGTTAAATGACATTTTATTTAATTTCATTTCATTTTAATTTTCGAATGGGTGAGATGTGTTTGTCGCTATTTTGACTGTAATTTCTTCTGTATCTAAACCTTGGTTACTGCTAAATTCCCATGGCTATCATTTAGGTATAACAATAATGAATATTAGCGTGGTCTATGAGGAACTAAAAATCAGTTTAAAAACGGGACGCCAATATGGTCGGAAATTGTAGATAAAAGTACTGATATTCGAGACTATGTTTAACATAATGGTACTTGATAATTAGAATATAGATTGTGATCGGCCAGTTATCACTATTTCTGGTCAAAACGCATAACCTCGCTCAAAATAAAGTAATTTGACTGAAATTTTCAAAATATTTATTTTTCACCATTTTTTGAGACTAGCGCTTTCTCTAATTCTTACATAAGGCATCGTTAATATTATGTCGTTTTTATAAAGGTTCTAAAAGAAGTATTACAGTATGGTGGTAATTATTATGGTGGGGGAGATTGGTTTTATTGTTTCTGGAGATGGCCAAGAGCCGGCAGTGGCTCAGATGCTGCGAGTATTTTCAGGGTAAGTTTATTTCTTACACGTCAAGGCTCATTTGTGGTATTTCATAACTGCTGCTCCAACGTAATTTATGTTTCGTAATCTCAATGTTACTCAAGTGTATTCAATGTATCCATACCGTTTACTTTCCATTTATCAGAAACAACCTGTTAGCATGTTTAAATTTTCCTGTTGCCACGTGGTTAAAATTATTTTAAAAATATAATTGACGTATTTGTATAAAACAAGATCTACATTTAAATTATTAATTGTAATAATGTTCTATTTGTTTTCTTATTAATAGAATGCCGGTGTTGCTCTTCTAACAGATGCCATCTTGTACCAGAAAGAACGTAATTACAGTAAGTATCTAGGAATTCCATTTATTGAAGCCTCTTCTCTCAATTCGAATGTTCTAAAGTGTTGTGCTGTAGTTCATAGAGCTGACATATTCAGTCTTATCCCCTTATTATACCTAGAAAAGCTTATCTCGCACTCGCTCTTGACTCCTCTCTTTAAGCTGTAAACATTCTCCGGCTTATCTCATTCTTTCGCCAAGCTACAACTATTATCCAACCTATCTGTTTCTATCTTTCTTCCTCTCACCAAGCAGCATATATTGCATAAATTATGTAGTTTCATTTCGCCAACTGCACAAATTATGTAGTTTCATTTCGCCAACTGCACAAATTATGTAGTTTCATTTCGCCAACTGCACAAATTATGTATTTTCATTTTGCCAACATAAATTTTACTTATATATATATAATAATATTCTCCGGCTAATCTCGGGGATCACTAGCCTGGAGGTTGGGTGTTCGATCTCTGCATTGACCGAGAAAGTTCACCCAGAATTTCCGGCGTGGTCTCCCCTTGTCAGTGATGCAGGATGGAAGGCCTGACAAGGACAGCTGTCTAGTCGTTCGGATAGGACGAAAAACCGAGGTCCCGTGTACACATTGGCGTGCACGTAAAAGATCCCTTGGCAGATGGAATTCGATATAAGAGTAGGCCGTAGCGCCGCTGCCCGGGCAAAAGTTCCCTCATAGCACACTGTGTGGCGTATGCCCGTCTTCATTAGCCCAAGTTAGGAGCAGAACAGTAGGACGTTAAACCCCATTTCATTTCATTTCATTTCATTTCCAGGCTAATCTCGAACCCATTCGCTTTCTATCGCTAAATTTTAAATATGTGCCAGGATTACACTTGCGATCCCTTGTCGAACTGCATATACCCCCGCACTACAGGCAAAACAAAACGGATAAGAAAAACCTGTGGACAAGATAAACTACACAGACATTGCAAGAAACAAACAACAAAATCAAATCGTAAGCGTCCATGCGCTGTACAGCCCAGGATCTGTAATGATAAGTAGTCCCCATACAGCTTACATTGCTCTATCCCGCTAAATATTATCCAGCTTATGTTAATCACTAGATATCACAGCCGCTTTACTGCACCCTTTGTCTTCATTATAGTTTTCCCAATGTATGCTAGAATGGAAATGACGATGGATGACAGTGATGATAGTGGAGGGGTCATGATGAACGTCGACGCCAGTCCCTCCGCCCCACCTAAAAACTTATCACCTGTTCAACGGATTCGAAAATATTTCCCGGAAACGTGGCTTTGGCGAACTGTAGCCATTGGGTATGTAGATATATATATGCATGTAAAATGTTCAATCCTTGTTTATAGATGAGTACTTTCGAGGGGGACCTGTATTTCAAATGGCTAGCAGCAGTGTTGTTGATGACTCTTCAAGTGGAGGTCAAGGCGCATTTTCTGAAAACAACTTGGCCAAGGTGACCCGTGTTCGAAAATTCTTTCCAGAAACCTGGCTATGGCGAACGGTTCCTATTGGGTATGTATGTTATTATATGTGGGTTACTGTGAAAACGTGGACGTTTCCGGAGGAGATCCGTAACGAATAATTGACTGATACCAGAAAGATATCTATATTACGGACCGAAAGAATCGACAGTTATGTCAATTTCTGAGCTGAAAATATAAGTTTGAGTTAGTCAATCGAACTGTAATTTTGAGTATGGAATTTCCTTTAGATAATCCACCGCATTTTAGTTTTGAGTACCTTTGAGTTTTGAGCTACAGCGGATAAAACCTTGGCAGTAATATTGTTACAGATACCCCGTCTTCATTAACCCATTCGGTGGAGAAGAGTAGGACGTTACAAATACACATATACCGCTTTGTGGACAGTGACAACGATAGCGTTAGCGACAAAATTGGCTTTACATAATTCCGATGAAAATGTCCGCATGATCTACAGTCTACACATGATCACATATGTCTACAAATGTTAAGTTGTTTACTGAGTGAATTCTAACACAAGGTACAATTTTATGGATACATAATACTGAGGTTAATACTAAGCGACGTTTCGACGACGATACTCGCATCTTTATCAAGCAAGATATCATTTGCTTGATAAAGACAAGAGTATCCTCGTCGAAACGTCGCTTTGTATTAAACTCAGTAATTGTGTATCCATAAAATTGTACCTTGTGTTAATATGTTCATTTACTTAATGCCAATCAAAGAAGAGTGAATTCTAGTTGAAAGTATTATCGTTCCAAATAAAGGTTTACATTCTTTATCGCTTATCGATTTCATTCATATGTATGCGTATGATGACTTCATAAAAAAACATTCACAAGTAATATGGGCGTATATAACTTAAGAAAGGTGGATGTATTTTTTTATATATATAATTGTTTTACAGAAATACAGGACAAGTTGTTTTACAAGAAACAGCACCAGATACTGTAACTACCTGGACCACCAGTGCCTTTGCTTTACATCCATTTAAAGGATTATCTGTAGCCAATAAAACAGCTAAGGTAAGTTCTCAACGATAAGCCACATAATTGTCTTATAGTTACATTTCAAACTCATTAACACAATTGTCAATTCCCTTCAGCCCCGATCCTTCCCTCGGCATCAACGTTCTCCTTCGTCCCACGACATAGAAATACACATTGCTCATTTAAAGCAGAGGTGTATGTAAGCAGGTTTTTTTTAGGGAGGGTTGGGGGAGGGGGCTCTCTGGTGTCGAAACCTCTATGAAAGTTTATGAGACCACTATAGACTCGAAAACTAGTCATTCTGTCACCTAATGGGGATTTAATGCACTGAAACAATCAAATATAACTTGCAGGATTGCGTCACAAACCTAGATCTGCATTCCGGGTCCATTTCGTTAGGTATCAATTTAGGACCATTTTTTGCGCCCAGAAGCTCCACCCGTACCCCGCGCCATGTTTTATTTAATGAAACTCTATATTTTTCAGGTTACAACGTTCAAAGATTTCTTCGTGAGCCTGAATCTACCATATTCTGTTATTAGAAATGAAGTAGTACTTGTGCAAGCGACTGTTTTTAACTATTTTGATAGAGTGGTACCTGTGAGTATTCTAATCTAAACTATTGAGAGGGGGCGATGGAGAGTGTGTGTGTGGGGGGGGGAGGGTAACATCAACTCGCAACATAATAGGCCATTTCTGAACAAACATTATAGTGCAATGTTTAGAAGTGTAAACGGTTCTGAGAACGTTACCAACCTCGAGGAACGAAGAGAGCAGGTCTCGGAACCGATTTGAGATCGACTCGATCAATGTATCGTGTTGTGAATGCTTATCGGGGTCAAGTGTGAACGCATCTGAACGGGGTCAAACCACTTTGATTGTGTCTGCTTAAAAACTCCATGGTCTTGAACACACAATCGGTAATAGCTCGATACTGTCTACTGTTTGTGACGATTCAATTTTCGTTTTCAGACACTTAGAGAAAGTGCATTAGTTTACTAATTTTTATATCAATTTTGAACATATAATCCGCTATATTTAGGCATTGACTTTGTTTGTTTGTCGTCTCAGAAAATAAATAAACAAACAACAGCTATCAAGTCGACTGTTGTACTTTTATGGCCAGGTGATACCAGATGGAAATCTGTATTTATTATCCTAAAAAATAAATTATGACACGCTATTTTCGTGAGACCCTATATGGTTAGCTAAATTTACCGCTAACATATATTTATTTTATTATTTGCAGGCCATGGTTACCCTATCCCAGAGTTCTGATTTCGTCAGCATAAAGATGCAGAAATACTTTGTTTTTGGTGATTTTGTGCAGAATGAATGGCATATGACCCAAAGACACTTTTTAGGTTGGGTAGGTATTTATCTGTATATTATAATATGAATATAATCCATCAATCCATCAGTTCCAAGAACAACCCAAGAACACCCCTTGCAGATTAAAAAAGATTTGATGAAATTAGAAAAAAAATTCGTTAACAATGAAACTGTTTATTGTCACGCGAATCTGCCATCCCTGAACTTGTTTTTTGTGTAATTTCATAATCAATGGTTGCTGTAATGTTGCTATAATGTTTGTATTGTATATTTAAGATGGAACCAAACAGTGTTAGATCAACTTATTTCCCCATAGCAGTAAGACAAAAGATTGGTGATGTGTTAATAAATGTTGCTGTACAGTCTTTATATGAAAGTGATGCTGTTGAACGAAATCTACTGGTTGAGGTTTGTACATATAAACAGTTTGTTAATGTCCAAGTTTTAAAGAACCTTCGAATACATATGTAAACGAGCCATGGTTTATAACCGTACTACGAACCAGGAAGCGATCATCGCAGCCATCTTGGAATTGTGACGTCATATCAGAAATCGAAGTCTATCAATCTAAGCGCAATTTTCCAATGGACAAACATGTCAATCACATTTGAATTGGCAGAGCCTTACGCTTTGTCGAAGATCGTCACCCCAAGAAAAAGAACAACAAGAACAATAAGAGTTTGCAGGCTAAACATTTGCTTACTTCTATGAAGCCGCTTTTGTCAACCATTTGTCAACCTTTCTTTAATTTAAAACAATGCTGCTTTCATAAATAACACTTTAAGAAAACAGCGAAATGATATTATAATATATATCAGTTAAACTATACAAAAGTTAAAGGCATGCTCAAAACATTTGGCAACATAAAAAACGAATTTGGACTTAAAAGTTTATTTCTTCACTACAACCGACTGCTAACATCTCTTCCTAAAAAGTCGAAAAATCTTATATCCGACCTTGTAAATTCTCATTTGCGAAAACTCTGCGTCTCGATACCCACCCAGACCGTACTTAGAAAATCTCTTAATTTCTTAATAAGGATCCAAAGGAAAAAGAATGCAAAAATGAAGTAAAATGGATGAATATCCTTAACCTAAATCTGTCTCGAGGACAGCAGAGAAAAGGAAAAATATATGCTCTACCAAAAACAATTGACACTGGACACACAGTCGCTAGAGTTTCAACTCAAATTTCTACACATAATTGTTACCACAAAATATCTTTACACTATTAAAATTACCATTGAGAAACAGTGTTTATTCTGTGGGGAAAAAGATAAAACTCTTGAACACTTATATTATGAATGCTCTGAAACTCAAAATATTTTGACAAATATGTCTAATGCTCTTGAAAAGTATGTGTTTCTCATGTCAATTTATAATATAGTGCTTGGTAAACAGGAGACACTCTATACAGATCTATATTTCGTTTCGTTTTTTTATACTTTCGATTGCCTCTACTACATTAAGATCTGACCAGTTGTAGTGGGAGGTCGTGTCAGGCGTCATACGAGCGGCTTTTGACTTTATGACGTCAGACATTTCATTAACCAATCAGCGTTGATGTTTCTAGTAGAATACTTACAGTTCCGTGCACCGCACGCCAAGAACTCACTGCAACAGACCGTTTCATTGGCTAATCCCTCACATTAACCAGAACGCATTTTGTATAACAACTCTTCCCGATCCTAGTGTAGTAAAGACATGTAAAACGAAATTTTGAACGATAAAAAACGAAGTTTATTCATTTTTATTACAGAATTGAAAAATACATAAGAAAAATGAAAAAATACATATATAAGAAAATATAGAATATGATTGCTAAGCGGTTTGATAATATGTAGAGAATACAATATTTTGTAAATCGCATCCTGTAGCTTGTCGTGAATTAGATATTTGTGATAAATGTATAACGTTTGTATAAAATAATAAAAGATTAAAAAAATATATATATTGAAAAGGATATTGATCACTACTATCCTTATAAACTGTTCAATTGTTTTACTATTACAGCCAGAAGGAATAGAAAGATCTTCTAATGAACCAGTATTAGTTAGATTAGATAGTACGACCAAGTTTAAACAGTCAGTTACTGTTCGTTTCCCAGATAATACAGTGTCTATGTCACAGAGAGTCCGAATAAATGTAGCTGGTACGTATGCCTTTTTTTCCAATTCGGCCATTAAATGAAACAACCTTTTTGAAGCCCTATTATTAAAGATTTTCAAGGCCGTATTGTAACAGTATTGATCTTTATGGCTTCATTATTGTATCACTATACATATTAACGTTTAGTTTACTACCCTACACTAGACTATTTGTACCTACCTATACGCTACGCCTTTGAGTTGATTTCATAGAATAGTTTAAAATACTGTAAGTCAAAAATCACCCAAGACTCGATCTACATGCAATTATCTTAGGAAACATTTATCTGAGATATCATTCCGGGTGGAAGCGGACGTTAAATTCGAAAACTACAACGAAACGTCGTGCTATATATTTAAAAAAATACTCGCTAAATGTTTGACGTTTAGGATGTTTCCTTGGATCTATTTATCTCTAATCGCAGAGTTGTCTCCCATTTAGTATAACAATAAATGTTACAATTTGCAGGCGATATATTGGGCCCATCACTAAACAATATTGATAAACTGTTAAAGATGCCTTATGGGTGTGGCGAACAAAACATGTTAAACTTTGCACCAAGTATTTACGTCACCAAATATCTAAGAAAAACTGGTCGCCTTACAACAGAAATAAAGAAGAAAGCAACGGCCATCATGGAAAAAGGTTGGTTTGTATAACATCATAATGAGCTTTTCAGCTAAAAACAAAAAGGATTAATTAAACGCAAGTGTAAGACAAGGATATAATATAATCAATATGTTTTTATATTATTAACAGACGAAATATAGAAATATTCGCCTTACTAGAGTTACAAAAGTAAAACGTTTCATATCTCTTTTCATGTAAATTTCATTGTTAAAACAAATCTGTCTTACTGAAGTAATAATAATCTTTGAAATTTTCAGGATACCAGAAAGAATTAGCTTATCAACATAAAGATGGTTCCTTCAGTGCATTTGGTGATAAACACAGTAATGAATCTGGTAGTATGTGGTAAGCGAAGACTGTGCCTAATATAAACACCATGCACTGTTAACTAATTTCTTAATGAAATGAAATGAAATGGGGTTAAACGTCCTACTGTTCTACTCTGACTGGGCTAATGAAGATGGGCATACGCCATACAGTGTGCTATTAGGGAAATTTCGTCCGGACATCGGCACTATGGCCTACTATTAAATCGAATTCCAACTGCTAAGGGATCTTTTACATGCACGCCAATCTATACACGGGACCTCGGTTTTTCTTCCCATCCGAACGAATAGACAGTTATCCTGGTTAGGCCCTTCGTCCTGCACCACTGACAAGGGGAAACCACGTCGGAAAATCCCGATGAACTTTCTCGATCGAATACTCGACCTCCAGGCTAGCGAGCCAGCGTCTTACTCACTTAGCCACCGTGGCTCCAATCTGTTAATCGCCATATAACTAATTTCGTTCTATTGATTATAACCACTCCTTTATATTCTGTAGGTTATCGGCGTTTGTAACTAAATGTTTCTGTCAAGCTGTTGATATGATTACTATTGATGAGAACGTGATAGAGAAGAGTATATTATGGATGATTTTTGCACAGAACCGTGATGGTAGTTTCCCAGAACCCGGCAAAGTCTTCAATAAAAGAATGCAGGTACACAAGTGGTTTTTAGTTATGTTTACTCGAAATAGGATGATAATTGTAGAAACAGGTTTTTATTTGGTGCATTACTAATGTAATCAATTTTTCCAGACGCCGACATTGAAGGAGCTAAATCAATAATTTTTGGCACCTAGAAATTGACACAAATGTGTCGCAACGCATATAATATTATTGTAATTAATATGAATGTATATAAACTGATTTACATTCAATTGTTTCCGTTTTTACCCTAATTTCAAATCAGTTATGTTCGGCGAAATACGCCAGAGGTCTCAAACGAATCTTGATTTAAATTGTCAAATAATTCGCGTATTCAATGTCGAAGACCTTGGATGATACTGAGTTAGAGCCTTAGCTACTTTAAATACAACGACAGAAAGAACTGGAACGGTGCGTTGCTTTAGAGATTCTTTTGATTTTGGTTAATGTATGTTTTTATATTTTCAGGGAGGATCAGGATCTGGAGAGGCTTTAACAGCTTATGTTTTAATCGCTTTGAAAGAGGCAGAACAGTTTTTGTTAGAACAAGGACCAATGATGACTAAAACACTAGAAGTGGTAAATATATAATATATATTATTCAGCAAATATCCGAATTTGGATTGGGAAGCCCTTTCTACTTAGATACACGAAAAATATGCGAACATATACAATACATAAAATGGATGATATAGCGACATCGTTTTAAGTATTTCAAAAGGATGGAATCTATGGAGAATACAGGGCGTGTAGCATTGTTTTTAGGGTTTTTTTGTATCCTACAGTCGTACACAAATGTAACACTATTATAGTAACAGAGATCAGTTTCGTAAATATGTGATTTATTTACATCTGAAACATAAGTATAAAACAGCTACATAAATACAACAGGAACATGAATTAAACTGGAACTAAACTACACCAGAAATCCTTATAAGACATATAGAAATAGATTTCATTGAAATTAACACACTTACATGGATATACTACTTCTGAATTTTATTAACACACTACTTTTCAATACACATACAGGTATCGTTATCAAGCAAATAATCATATAGGAAATAAGCCCGTTTTGACATTCTTAATATTAATTTCATTTACGGCTATTTCAGGTACGATTATCTATACGTTCTGCTCAACTATACCTAGAGAAACAGTATATGAATATAACTGATGCCTATGATATAGCTATCGTAACGTATGCTCTACAAACAACAGCTAGTGAAGCAACATTACCAGCTATAGTTAAAATGAACCAACTGGCAACTAGTGCTGGTAAGTATAGACTTGAAGTTCAAGACATGTTAAAGTAGAAAAATATCAACGGTCATATTGGAAATTTCGGAAATGTTGGGGGTCGAGATTGTTGCATAGTCAAAACCCCAAGACTCTTAACATGGAAAGTGATACCAAGTGTTAACTAAAGGGTAAGCGTACCCCCTTCCCTCCTCGAGCGCGACACCAACTACGTTTTCCAAGAATGTTATAGATTTTGACCTCTTCTAGATAATTGTATTGTAATAAATCATTTGCCCCATGTTACCACTCTTGGTACAGCCCCTTTTTTGTATTAATCCGCGGTGGCTTATCAAGTAAGGCGCTGACTCATTAATCGCACCCACCACCCTCCCTGCGGTTTCGATCCAGGTGTTTGCCGAGAAAGTCCCTTGTCAGTAGTGCACAATTGAGGGTCTGACAAGAAACAGCGTCAAGTTGGAGGATAAAACAAATGATTTGAGAAATAATGTGTCTCGGATGTTTTTTTCAGATGGTGTAAAATATTGGAAACGTCCATCACCCCCAGAAGATGCTAATCGCTATAGATATTATTGGTATCGTAAAAACGATGCTATTAATATTGAGGCCACAGCATATGCTCTCCTAGTTATAACAGGTACCAAACAAGTTAACGATGGTTTACCTGTTTTACGATGGATCAGTAATCAACGAAATCCAGAAGGTGGTTTTACTTCTACTCAGGTAACAGATGATAATTATGTTTGCTTAAAGAGGCATTATGTAAGAGCTAAATCTGCTTATTACAAGTCTTTTTCTGGCTTCAAATGTTATATAGATTATTAATTAGACATATTTTATGAACATGACAAGCCCATAATCAACTCTCTGGGCCATCGGATGGTTCCGATTTTAAGCCATTTAAGCGTTTAACGATAAAATAGTTAATCGACATTTAGGATCGATTGTCAAGTACCGTTGCTACTATAATAAACAACCTATTTTGTCAAAACTTCAAACCCCCATAACTTCGCACAGAATAAAGTACTTGACTAGAATTTTCAATACATGTGTACATTCAATTTTCATTATCTATGTTTGAACAATTATTATAACACGACCTGACAGCTTTGTATCTCAATCTTACATAATGCAGCTCTCTAATAAATATATTATACCTTTGAAATTTCGCAGTGTATATACGTGAATATAAATTGGATATAAACTTACATGAAAAATGCCAAAGTAGATTGGATGTTTACGGGAGATATAGATGAATATTAACCGCGGTCTTGTTTGTGTTGGGATACAAGCGTATTAGTCATTATTAGTACATTTTATTATATGGGAATTGTATTGATCGTTGTAATCATTATATTCAACACTATATTATGTCAAATAACGCTTATTATTTTACAACCCACTAATTAGTGTCAGCCTATTTACTATTTAGTGTCCTCCTTTTATTGTTTCGTGTCCGTCTACTATAATTTCTATAATGACTGACAGTTATTTGTATATAAAAACATTATCGTTGGAATAATGACCACGAGACACAGGCAACCTAATCAGTTTTTGTTTCAAATCTTTTTGTAAATTTGCCCACAAAAGATAGAGTTATTTATATGATCGATTTCAACGTTCAGTAACATTTAACTAGACTAGGTATATAATGACTGACAGTTATTTGTATATAAAAACATTATCGTTGGAATAATGACCACGAGACACAGGCAACCTAATCAGTTTTTGTTTCAAATCTTTTAGTAAATTTGCCCACAAAAGATAGAGTTATTTATATGATCGATTTCAACGTTCAGCAACACTTAACTAGACTAGGTATATAGACACATGAAATGTTATATGCATGGATTGTCTGTGATATCACCTCGGTGGAAGTGGACGTTAAATAAAGGGATATTATGGTAGAGATATATTGGTATAGATAAACTATGTGTGACAAACTATCGTGCTTTAAATTATTGCTGTATTATATGATTTCTTCAGGATACTATTCTGGCAATTGAAGCTTTATCTAATTATGCTGGAGAAACTTACACACCAACTACAAATTTAAATATCCAAGTCAGCTGGGCAAGTGGCTCTAAAATGTTCAACGTAAACTCACAGAATTCGCTTTTACTCCTCTCGGAAGATGTCAATCTGAGCCAGGTAGGTAATTACTTCATTGTCACTCATTTATTAAATACAAGAAGACGCGATGGTCTATAGTGGGTAATGCTTTAGCTAGCTAACTATAAGGGCGTCCGGTTCCTGTGATTTTACCTCGACAGTGGTGCAGGACGGGTTGTCCGGTCTGACAAGTGTCTAGTCCTTCGGATGGTACAAAACACCGAGTATCCATTTTACACGCTAGACAGTTGGAATTCGAAACAAAAGTAGACCGTAGCCCCGCTCTTGGGGCAAATGTCCCTCATAGCACAGTGTATGGCTACACCCATCTTCATTAACCCAGCCGCTGCAGAAAAGATGGACGTTAACCCCGATTTTATTGTCGAATACAGCATCGCTGATACTGTTCTGCGTCCATTTCTTCGCCGATACTTTTCAATATTCCCATGAATATTTCATTGTTACAAATTCCCCACACCTGATCATTGTGAATAAAAAAAAACAATGTTAGTTATAGTTCTACTCTCTTTCAGACTAACATTCAACAACCAATGACATTTAATATTGAAGGTGATGGGTCCGGTACAGCTTTAGTGGAGGTAGGTATATCCACAGTTTACACTTTTAAATGAAACAGGGACCTTTAACTTTAATGACTTTATTGACTTAAATAACGTAAAGATGCATTATGTAAGAATTAAGTCTGACCATGACATTTCATTATTTTGCTTCAAATGTTATAAATTAATATTTAGACTTTTATTCACATGGAAAACCTTTAATCAACTCTATGTAACATCGAATGGCAGAGATTTTAACGGATTGAAACACGGTCGCCATATAATGATTTAATTTAAAAATGATGAATTGAAGCTTAGTCTCGATTAACAAGTACTGTTGCTGCGATAAAAAAACGGCCAGCCCTCGATAAACTACTAGAAGGTTTTATTACTCAACAAATACCTTCTCGAAGTATGTAATAAAATCTAATCGGGTGAAATGTGACAAAAAGGTCATGTTTACTGTTCTGTTTTCAAGAAATAGTTTGCTAAAATGGAAAATTGTACTTCTAATTTCAGATAGCTACATATTACAACGTAGAACAGAATGCTATTAATCCATCATTTAATCTTAACACCACAGTGAAGAACAGCTTAACCGATTCCTTCATACTGGAAGTCTGTTTCAGCTATCAGAAGTCTGGAAATGCCAGTATGAGTGTAATTGAAGTGGGCGTACCTACTGGATTTGAAGCCGATATTTCAACACTTCCAGAACTTCCAAATCTGAGCAAGCATGAAACTGGTGACAGAAAACTTACTCTTTATTTTGACCAGGTAAAGAACACATACAAATATACCGCTTTTAATTAGGGAAAATGCAACGAAAAACCTACACCAATTTACACTACAGTCATCACTTAACGAATTTGCATTCCATTTTGAACTAATCGAACCATGGTCTTATTTATACTACTTAAATTGTAACCGATCCGTGCCTAATTCCTACCGCTGGTATATCAAATTGTGTCTGAACTGAGTACACTCCAAGACCAGATTGAGTACGCGGCCATTCCATTTCCGTAGTTAAAACTGGGTTATACGTTATACTGGCCACTGGTCTGAGCTGGCGTGGATTGGTGCTGATTTTATGTACTTTACATCTGTATTTATGAAACAGTTTAGCTACGTGGTCTATTAATATACCGAACCATTTTATTAACTTTATATTTTACATGTCAATGCTATTTTCAGGTTTCACACGACTGGACGTGTATGGACATACAGATGAATATGTTTGACCCCGTAGCTAAAGGTCAACCTGTACCTGTCAGAATATATGATTATTATGAACCAGGTAAAAATTCATTTTAAAGTCTCACAGAAATAAATTTTAGAAGAGCTGACTTTGCCCACAGTTCATAATATAAATTATGGATTAATTTAGATTTAGATTTAATTATGGGGGGGGGGGGGGGCGGCTGCACCACCCCCAACATTTTGGGCACCAAATGCTGGGAAAATTTGGGCACACAATTGTACTTTGTAAAAGTTGTATAAAAAAATATTGTGTTCTTGAATGTGTCCAATTTAACAGCGAATTTAAATTCAGAGTGTCATATAGTTAGGCAATTATATAGAAATCTTAAGACTCGAACCCTCTATTGTTTGGAGTACAGTAAGCAACGAGTTAGTTACATAAACAACTGTTTTAGTTGTGTATATTACAAGTAAATAAAATTTAGTTCTCTTTTATTGATGATTTAGAAATTAAGAACTTATTCATCGCAAAAGAGATATTATTATTATTATTATGTAACATACTAAGAACCTAACTACATTTTTGGGGCACCAACCACCAACGCCCCCCCCCCCCCCCAGTCAAAAATTTCCCCGTACGCCTATGTTAATATGTACAGGCCTAATTTATGCTGTATTGAACTTAAACTTGAGTGGTTTTCTGTTTTCACGCGGATCCTTTTATATCAGTCGCAAATTGATTGATGATGTTTTGTCATTTAATAGCGTATATCAAATCTCCGCTAGAGAGGTTTCATACAACTAAACGGTTTCCTCCAGGAAATGATCCCCAAGCGCTATTCATCTTGCTGTTGTTGTTCTACGGCTTCGTGAATTCGATTGACACGCTACTTGGCAGACCGGATTCTTGTACTATTTTATTGCGCATTGATTTTGATTTGGTGTCAAAATTCCAAGATAGCGGCGATCCTAGTCGATATAATCGGAATTTTTATTAGCCTTAATCTTCGATTTGGTTTTATATTATTTATGTACGCATATTTCTTTGTTTAGTTTTTTTTTGTTTAGTCTTCTTTGGTCATTTGACGAGTGTACTGTATATTATTTTGCCTACCATTTTAAAACATGTTTATGGTCGTTCTTTTGCAACTAAAATTTAACAAAAAAACCATAAGATGCTGATCCATACCGGCTAGATCTATCATGGAACTTATTATGCCTGCCTTGGATGCATGATTGGTGTTCTTGTTGATTCGATTAATTGGACTGCCAGCATCTAGATATTTGTACTTAATGCAAATTCCCCAAACCCCTCCCCTCTTACTCTTTAACACTTGGTAAACACAAGTATCTATGCACAAAATGTGTACTACAACATTTGCAAAATAAATGACTACTTTCCCATGAACTTTTGAATCCCCTACCCAGGAGGTGGTTTGCCAAGTTCCTGAGAAAATGTACAACCCCCCCCCCCCCCCACGCGGCTTGAAATTTTTTGAGAAATACATGGTCTCTATCGTCATTTTGGCGTATATACATACACATTGATCTTTTTAAACAGAGAAATCCAACATCCTGCTTGACGTCAATTTTTATTATGAATTAATACAATGACATTAATTGTGATATCACATATTTCTATATCATTATCTCGCGCTTTGAGTGCCCGTCCTGTCGCACCATCTGACGATAAAGGATAAAGCACAATTATGACACTTTTCTTGTAAGGTTGTTTTACATTGGTAATTCAAGCCGTCATTTTATTAGAATGTCCATTGTATATGTATACCTTGTTTCGTTTTTTAGACGATGAATATACTATGTTTTATCGAAGAAAGGAGGCATCAGTTTGTGAGGTGTGTCCTGGGTGTGGATTGTGCGTTCAGTGGGTAAGTCTTTTAAACATAAAAAGCGCCATTCCTTAAAGGACAACTTGAAGACTCGCGGTGACTCAGTGAGTGAGTCACCGGCTCGATCACCAGGAAGTCCCCGGTTCGATCACTGAGGATCTGGAAAGGAACAGTGTCTATTTCTTCGGTCGGGCGAAAAACTGAGGTCCCATGTACACGTTGGTGTGCATGTTAAAGATCCTTGATAATTGGAATTCGAAACGTTTTCCTCATAGCACACTGTATGGTTTGTCCGCCTTCATTAGCCCAGGTGCACAAAAGTAGGAAGTGTAACCCCATTTCATTATCAAATATAGTCCATTTCTTCGCCTATACTTTTCTATATTTGATAGCAATACATATATTGAGTCTGTGTATTTTTGCTTTTCGTCGGGTGGAATGAAGAAGTATGTGTTCAACATTTATCAGGTATTAGATAGAGAATTAAATAAACTAAACAACGTTTTATTTGTTTTCTCTTTTTAGAGAAGATAATTGAAGGAACAGATAAAGTTCAAGAAGTGATATCAGATGGCTGGACCATTACTTTATTAATTCCTTTTTTGTTCTATTTTGACCAGCTCAATCTAAGTTGTAATTTAGAGATTTTGCTTTTACTTAAGTTGTATATAGCCAAATATACAATTATGTTTTATCGTTAATAAGAATACTGTTCATTGTAAAGTTCTTTTTATATCTTAATCTTTCCTGTTGAAGAAATAAAGCCTATATTTTATTATACAAATTTTGTTTAAAAGAGAGATGTTGTGTTGAGTGAAGAGTGGGGAGGGAAGGTAAGGTCCATTCAACACACGCTATGCATGTCAACTGATTTCCCGATAGCCTAATATATCACGTTTGGGATCCCACAACATTTCATTTTGTGCAATGTAAGCGTTGTTTCAACGTGCAAAGCTCACACATTAGCCAACTCGTTTGGGATCAGACCTATATATAATGCCAGAAAAATAAAATCCCGTTTACGGAGTGTCGGCCTGGTAAGCCGGTTATCGTGTGCATCGACGGAGGTACGTGGGAGGGAGGCTTCCCGCGAAAACTTTGAACATTATAGACGGCCACGAACGCGATTCCTGCTCTTCCAGTCCGTCAAACAGCAATTTGAAAGTGTTCTAATACAGCAAGAGCTAAATCTTCCTATTGCATGTCTTTCTTTAGGCCTGAATTGTTATATAAACTATTAATTAGACATTTATTAACTTATCCAGACCATAACCAACTCTCGATGCCATCGTAGGCCTGCAATATTTTAGCGGATTGGAATACATCTTTTGAAAAATAATTAAATGTAAAAATGGATAATTGAGACTTTGTTTGTTTATCGTACCGATTTTAGTTGATGATAGAGGCTAGCCTAAAATCGAAAAGCTAATATCTCGATTTAGAGTGGAGCAATTTAATTGAAATGTTTTAGCATAGTCTATTTAGGTTATCTATTTTTTCTAAAACTATCTTCCGTAATGCCCCTTTAAATAGATATTATGCAAGAGCCAAATCTGACTATTTCATGTTTTTCTTTATGCCTTAAATGTTATATACATTATTAATTAGGCAATCTAGGTTACACAGTTCTTTTAATGGCGATAACTAGGCTCAGCTAGAGTGAAGTAATTTGACTGGAAGTTTCAACATATCCCTGTTTATTATCTATTTTGTTAACTATTATAGCGAGAACTGCCAGCTCTTTTTCTAATATTTTACTAGTAAAATTACCAATTACCAAGGCAGAGTAACTACATTTGAATACCATAAAAACAGTACCAATGATCATTTCCAATACGCGGATGATTCAATGGCGGAAAAAAGATTGAAGTAGAAAATACTTAGCATATAGATGAAACCAATAAAAAGAACAATAAAAATGTTAGTATTAGTTGTAAAATTGTAGGCCAAAGTTTTAAAAAATTACTTTATAAACATAACTTTGTCTTTTTAATACAAACCATTAGGCTGTGATTTAGTCCCGAAAATCGTTTCATCTCGTCCCAGCAAATTCTGGGTGAAAATTTGACGCTTTGTTACATAATTTAACAAGTAGGCCGTCACTGTCGCATACATTTCTGTTCCAATGCATTGCACAATACGTCTTGCACTCGAATTACGTCTCGAACTATATTTGACAAGTGTAGCCATAATCGGGTGAAAAAATCAAATTCTAAGCCAATCAGAACCCATATTAGCAAAGATCGTCATAGGTCAAGGGTCAATAGCCATAAATAGACCAGTGAATACCTTTTATCATCCCAAACTTAGGCTGCCTATCTACAGCTGGCTCCGGCTGAGAATAGGCCCTAAGCTAATTAACCGACATTTAAATTCCTACATCGACGATTTTAGTCGAAAACACTGAGTATGCTTTTAGAAAGATAAACAGATTGAAACTCTAAAGACAGTTTACAATGGTAAAGAATTTATTGCAATATTACCCATAGCACATATTATGTATCGCTTTTACGCGAGTGTCAGCGACATGCCGTGTTTACATAAAACACACGTGCGTGGGTTATTTTTACTTTGTTGTCTAAACAAAGCGGTGTCGAATCGATAAGTCCCGCCCCAAAATGATCACATGATCGTTTTAAATGGCGGATAATCAGTGCAGTGTCACATTCTGGGAAGTATGACGTAGATGGGTCGCTGCGTGCAGTATGTACCTTTTATAAGACGGAACACGTTGGATTGTTTACATTTGTCTGAGAGAATTTCTTTGAAAATATGCCGGGATTACTGGATAATACCACCTGTTAAATGTTGCATTGACACGGTAAAGACGACTTACCCCTAATCTGTGGCATAAATATGGCCAATAATTGGGAAAAAGCACCAATGATTGAATGAATCTTTTATTTTCTGGAAACAAGTATTTCTTCAAAACTATTTCAGTGAAACAATATCCAAGAGAAATATATACTTAATACAGATGAAAACGATTTTGGCATGCTTGAAATACTGGTTCGGTCTTATAATTATATATAATGTTAAAAAAAAAAAATAATAATAATACCATGTGATCTGATCGATACAATTAATAATAATTCACCTTCATTAATTTTACTAGTTTTATAAAAAAGAAAACAATAGACTTATTATAAGAGTATAGAGAGAGAGAAATGGGGTTTAACTTCCACTCGACACAAACTAGGTAATTTTGGTTCAATTTTATTCCAATAATTCTTGCGTGTAGTGGTCTTTAGCAGTGGGAGGAAACCGGAGGACCCGGAGAAAACCAATGAGGTTGGACAGGCAACCCTTCTCCTTGTCAAGTACAACCGTTGAATCTAAACCACGCCAGTGGACTCAATGACAGACCTTATGATACAGCGCGCATATGCTACCCATTCGGCTACCCAACCCCCTATACGAGAGTATAAGATTACATTTATTTAAAGAAAGAAAAATAAACAAATGCAATTATATAAATTTCCTCGTACACAACAATACCATACACCACTAGTATAAATGAAAAATGTATATAATAATAATAATAACATCATCATATTTTAAAGTGTATTAATACTGGAGAACGGTTTCTAATGTGCTGTTCAGGTTCTTATATTCACAGAATACATGTATTTACACAGAGATCAGGTCTTGTGCCCGTATACACTGTACAAAATTGAAAGATATATACCAACCAGTAAATAAAAGTACATATAAGAGAAAAACAAACAGTAATTACCTAAGTAAAATGGTTCTAGTAAAATGAATTAGAAATGAAATGGTCTAATGAAGATGGGCATATACGCCATACAGTGTGCTATAAGGCAAATTTTGCCTGGGCACAGCACTATGGCCTACGTTTATATCAAATTACAACTGCCAAGGGATCTTTTTACGTGCACACCAATGTATACACGGGACCTCGACTAGACTGCTGTCATCGTGCCTTGTCAGCCCCTCCGCCTGCACAACAGACAAGGGAAAACCGTCGAAATGAATTAGAATAAAAAAGTAAAATAAAAACATATAGTAAGCATAAAGTGACAAAATATAATATGAAAATTTATTGACATGTACAGTACATTTAAGTAAAACATATTTAAAATATGTAATATTTAAAAACCGCTTACAAAAATACATGTATACAGGTGTAGGCCTACTCACATAATTTCATCAATATCATCATCACTATTAAAATCAATGTCACTGTCAGCATATGTTTGGCTGTCACTTTTATACTCGAACAATATACACAAAACCATACAAGAAAGTTTTCACTTGTAAGAAGTACATCTATTACTGATCTATCTGTAAAAGTGTAATGCAGCTTGATTTACATTCACATTGAAAATTTAGTTTGGTGCTTGATCTCTAGTCACCCTAACCCTGTCATTTGTTCAATAGAGTTTAACAAGAGGGGTTTAAATTTCCACAGCTACAATCAGGCAACCAGGGAGGAACGCGCCAGAATATGCCCCCTTTTTAACTGGTGATGCAAGGGCAGAAATAATTCTTCATACATATTTTTTTCAAAAAAAGTAAGTGCACTTTGTACCAACTCATCTATTTTGGTTCTAATTTTCTCCATAACATGGGAGTTGGATGGCCGAATTGTTAGCACGTGCGCACTGTATCATAAAGCCTGTCATTGAGTCAACAGGCGTGGTTTCGAATCCCCTGTTGAACGTGACAAGGAGTAGGGTCGTCTGTCCAACCTCGTGGGTTTTCTCTGGGTCCTCCCGTTTCCTCCCACTGTTAAAGACCCCTTCGCGCAAGCGAATTATTGAAATAAAAAAATTAAACCATATGTTAGTCCCAAAATGACCTAGTTTGTGTCGAGTGGACGTTAAACCCCATTTCTCTCTCTCCATAACAACTTGGGTATGAGTACTGCACATTGTATTTCACCTCAATAATGGTGACACAGTCTTAACCATAGTGGTCTTTCTGTCTTTGACTGAGTGGACTTCTCTATTGGTCTGAGTGGTCTTGGGCGGAGTAGTCCTTGGTCTGGGTTGTCATGCATTTAGGAGAATATCTTCATCAGCTTGCATTTGCAAGAAAATGGGGAACATGTCAAGAGATGATCCGATCCCCTTAAACAAATTAACCAGACCTATTATTTAATTCTCTTTCTCTTTTTTTTTTGCTGCTTGTTTCTAAACACCACTTTCTTCAACAATTTAGGAATCGTGATAATGTTTCATACACAGTTTACGTGGAATGTGAGAAGTAGTAAGTAGCCTCTACCATACCCCAGTGAGAGTTTTGTCTTCGCATTCCTGCCTGGAGTTCTGATTCAGCTTTGTCCAGCAAATCGGCATTTGTCTCCGGCACATTTCCATCTAATTTGATCCACTGGATAGCACATACCTTAAATTTTTCCCAGCTTGTCGCAGTGAACGGTTTTAGCTCAGTGTTTTAACAAAATGTACACGAAGTATGCAGTTTTACTTTAGCTATCCTTCCGCCATGAACCGTTAATAACAACACATAAACAAATAGCAAGTGACCTTTCACCACATGACCTTTTGAACTATTCGTCGTGTATGTTTGATTGGCCAATTATGTCACGTGATCTGTTTAAACCGAGTCACCGCGAAATTCAAATACCATTGCACATTGACAAGTAAGCCCATATTTAATTTACGTTTTCTATCAAACGTCAAAGAGTTGATAAAAGAAAAGTTGTATAACAATACAAAGTAATACTAGAAGAATTAGATGATGTAGGTTTTTTTTCACCAGGGACGGAGAAACAGAAGCAAGCTAGCTAGAAATTTCACA